TGTACTCAGAGGAAGGATGCTGCGGAGATTGCAAGAACAAGGCTGGCCACCAAATTTAATTAGATGGGTGGAAAGCTTCATGACAGGACGCACAGGCAGGATCAGATTGGATGGACTCCTGGGAGAGCTCTTTGATATCCCAGCAGGGCTTCCACAAGGCTCGCCAGTCTCACCTATTCTATTCATGCTGTTTATTCAGCCTCTGTTCTTTCTAGGAACTATACAAAGAAGATGTGCACGCTTAGGCTACGCAGATGATCTAGGACTGCTTAGTGCTGGAACCACTCTTGAAGGGAATGTTGTTACTCTCCAGGAGGATTTCAAGTTGCTAAATGATTGGGCCAGCAAAGAAGGGCTGACATTTGATTTTGCCAAAACTGAGATAGCACACTTCACACGGCGCAGAACCCTTTCAAACCCCTCAATTGACCTTGAAACAACATCTGGCACTCACTCTATTACAGCAAAGGCAGTGAAAAGCTCCATAAGATATCTAGGAATCTGGCTAGATAGAAAACTGAGCTTCAAGAAACACGTGGAGACCATGGCGGCTAAGGCACGACAGGTGTCTAATGGCATACGAGCACTAAGCAACACAGCAAGAGGCGCCCCAGTACAACTGCTTAGACAATCCATTCAGGCCTGTGTGCTCTCTGTGCTCTGCTATGGAGCAGAGGCCTGGTGGCCTGGAGCCACACGAATGGAGAAGGGAAAGGAAATCTCCAATCGAATGGATTGCCTAGTCAGAAAGCTAGATCTAGCCCTTAGAGATGCTTTGCGAGGGGCACTGCCAGTCTACAAGACCACACCCATTTCAGCTCTACACCGTGAGCTAGGAATCATGCCAATGAAAGAGACACTAGACAACCGGCGTGCTGTATTTGCAGTAAGAATCAAAAAGCTTGACAAGAGGCACCCGCTAGTGAGACGCTCTAATAAAGTAGCTACCACCAAACCCTATACCACACGTCTGTCTAGAGCGTCCAGTCATGCTGGTGGGATAGAAGCATATGACCCTCTACTCACGCCCCCTTGGATGAGATTTCCCAGGAAAGAAGATCTGCAGATTGGGTATGAGGCAGGCCGCACAAAGGAACAGGCAGCACAAGACTTTAAGAGCTGGCTACAACAACGCAATCCCCTGGATCTGGTGGTCTTTACCGATGGTTCACAGATAGAGCACCCTCAGCGTGCGACTGGTGCAGGATGGGCTATATGCTGGGGTAGCAAACACCGTCTAATCTCCACAGGAAACCTGCCAATGGATAAAGCAGAGGTCTTTGACGCAGAGGCAATGGCAGCCCTGCAGGGCCTAAAGGAAGCCACCACCTCGCCTCAGGCGAAGTTTGCCAGCAACGTCTACATTTGCCTAGACAATTTGGAGGTAGCACGAGCCCTTGGATCCGTGCCAAACACCTCTAGCCAGCAGGTCTTCGCGCAGTTTCTGAAAGCCATAAAGGCCTGGCAGAGCAGGGATAGGCTCCCATTGGCCACCCAGAGCAGGGTGGTCATTAGATGGGTCCCAGGCCACGCAGGCGTGGCTGGTAATGAAAAGGCAGATCTTGAAGCCAAAGCAGCCGCAGCGCAGGCAGCAAGTGCAAGCATGGTACCTCAACCTGACAGCATAGGCACTCTAGCTTATATAAAGCGACACACTATGGAACAAACCACACGGGCCTTTGAGAACTACTGGGCCAAAAATCGGCCCAAACGCTATATGGAGCTGGAGATCCCACTAAAGAGAGCCTCAACAGAGGTAAAACTTTCATGCTTCACATTAGGAAAGCTCTATGCCGCCCGATCAGGTCATGGAGACTTTGCAGCCTACCACAGCCACCTTAAGCATGAAGATGCAGAGTGCTACTGCCGGTGTGGACATAGCAAAACTCCAGAACATTTCTACTATTGCACTCTTGCAAGAAAAGCAGCAAAGCGGCGCCGGCCTATCTACAATCTCCGCGAGACACTGGCAACCTCGCGTGGGGCCCTAGAATTCAATAACTGGCTAAGAGAAACAGCCTTCTATCAGAATATCTGTCCAATGCGCCGTCGCGCACCTCCAGATCAGATCCCACAGACCATTCTCTCCTCTGTCTTGCCCCCATCTTCCTCACCACCTCCTCCTCCTTCCTCTCTTTCCTCTCCTTTCTTTCCTTCCTTGCCTTCCTTCCTATCCGCCTCCCCTACCTCCCTCCCACAAACCTAAAACCTCTCAAAACCTCTGCTCTATGGCAACCGACCCATGGGCTCTGCCGGTGCAGCAATACGCAACCCATTTTTGCCTCATTTGTAAGATAGCTACTAGATAGGTAGTCGCCTACGGGCGTAGCTCTACCCGCCCTATAGTTCGACGCGGACTCTACTAGATCACGTGCCCTTAAGGCACGTGGACTAACCGGGCGTTAAATAAAAACACACACACACACACAGGGCTTTATTGCGCCTGTTCGTGCCTTTTTCCATTCTATATACTCTATGAAAACATCAAATTCGGGTTGGTCTCGGACTCAACTCCCTACGCTGATCTGCATGAATAAGAAAATAATGTTGCAGACGGTAGGCCTCTGGAAGGTTATCAGATCGATAGATAGTTAAACTGTTCGTCCCGGTTGTCTTTTGATCTGCTTGGTGTTTGTTTCTTTTGCAGAAACGATTTTCTAGAGCCCGTCGCGACCATCCCCCTGACAGGCATGCCTTGCCCAGCTACGCCAACTTGAGGTCCTTCAACGGCTGAGGACCATATCTAAACACGAAATAATCGTTGGTGCTGGAGCTGGTGAGGATTACGCTTATGCAATTTTCCATATCCATCAAATGCATTTGCGAACGCAATAACGAATCTAAACGAAACTTTAGGTATAGGGGCTCTCTGTGCGAAAAGTCGAAAAATGGAGCCCGTGATCTCATTTGCGTGTACGCAATTCTGGCAGCTTCCGCATGGTTAGACGCGGGTTATCAGCAGGCTTGATGTCGTATGGAGACGCAGACAAGATTGTTTTCGAAATGGTGAGTTGAAGAGTTTTGCAGACCGGTAGGGAGATGCTGTATCGTGAAAGAAGCACGGGAAAATCAGGCTCCGAGAATAGTTGCTTGTGCCATGCTGAAGAGATATCATGAAGGAGTTCCTGTCTCATTATCACCGTCACTGAAAGGCGGTGATGGTGCGAAAATCATCATTTCAAGTGGTGGGATTAACGAGACGAATAAACCCCCCCCCCGGACAAATGGGTGCAGAACGGAGCTTCACACCTGCCACACTACACTCCAAGACTGGAGATGTTGATGTCGATATCAGATCAGCATCCGACTGGGATCTGGTTTCAGTGGCCGTCCGGCCAGATCCCATGTCAAGCAAACCTGGTCTTGCTACCCAGTGTATCTCGCGGCTCGAACAGGATTTACTAGAGCGGCTAGCCAGGGCCGAGAAGGAGAAATGAGGACCACTAATGCGCACCAGTTAGGGAGCAGCAGCGTCTGAAAATTCTGAATGAAAACGACGGAGAGACGATAAATGGCCCCGTATTGGAAGAAGAGAGGGTTTGAAAGGGTACGGACAAAAAAAAAATTTCCCCCTGGATTCTGGGGGGCTTATCAGGAGTTTACACTCTTGTGGATGAAGAGAGGTACACCGCATAGAACAAATTCTAGCTCATATGGATCGAAGAGGCGTCGTGCAATTATTACACGGGCTTGCCATGTGGATATGGCTGCAGATCTGGAAGAATGAATGCTTAGCTAGTTTAACATGCTGAAAACTGGGGTTGTAGTTGAATGCCAAAACAGACGAATCAGACGTTTAGAGACTATAACCAATGCTAAGTGATAAAGGGAGTTCATGTTTTCCTGCAATGCCGAAACCTCCCTATTACATCACATATTCTTACTTCAATGCTGAAGTACGGAGTATGTAACTATGCCATAGACAAGCGAACCAACGATTAATCCTCAAATCAAGAAGCTATCCATAAAAGAACCCAATCACACGCACCGATCAGGCAACAGGTTTGGCATTCAAGGCGAAACGAGAGTCACGGAATTAGTTCAATGTCTGCAGGATTGATTAGTTACATTTGCCCATAGATTCAGATGGCACGAGATCCTATGAAGAAACACAATGGGACCATTGAAGCCGCAGAATAAACACCTCCAAGTGAGAAGATATCCCTGAATCCCAGCAAAAGTATCCCAGCACCCACTTCATGCAACATCTTCAAGGTGGGCCCTACGGATGACATAAATCCTGGAACCAAAATGATCAACCTTCACCGAGCAGTGGAGTCTAGGATCCAAATGATCGCGAAATAGTCCGAAACCTGATTTAGTTTGTATTCGTGACAACCATTTTTTCCGTTAACAATGTCAAATTCCATCCTCGATTTTTATGCGTAAGCTGGAACAGAAATCAAGTCGTACAACATTCAGTCCATATGATCATTTTATTTATGCCATCCATTCACTCGGTGGGGGGTCATCATTACACGCGCTAATTACCTGGCGAACTGGCTCGGAACAATCACCAGCCCAAGAAAAGCCTATTGAACCAGAAATCGCAATTCCGAGAACATGGATTATGATGCGTAAGATCAAGGAGACACCGACTGTAACTACCCAGTTCAACATAGTCAATTCCCAGCCGAACCGCCGGCGATAACGGGTATAATTTGCACATCGTTTGTTGCGGGCGTCTAAACTCCGGGAACTCTCTAACAATCAAAATCGACTTAGCTTCTGTCTGAGCTGGGATCAATAAAAAGGACGGATTTTGTTTAACGGCGATACGACTATCTCCCGGGCGGCTGTTTGGGTGCTCGTGAGACGAACATAGGCACCCAGGCAAGAGACGCTAAGGTTGGAAGAATGTATAAGTTGAATGTAAATTCTTCCAGATGGTGCTGTTCAGAAACCCTGTGCCAAAACTATCTAGATAACAGAGCTTCCAACCAAGCTCCGAAAAAACACAAAACACCATTCGCCATTCACTATTCACAATTTCCAAAACCATGAAGCTGCCTACTCTGGCTGGAAAAGATGTTGGCCACACTGGCTACGGCCTCATGGGTAAGTACTCAAGCTCGTTGTACAGCATGGCCTTCGACAGACTTTCGCTCATACGTTGGCGATCAAAAAACAGGGTTTACATGGCGTCAGGTACCAACTTCGGAGCGCCAATACACAGAGGCGATGAATACAGCTATCTCTCTCGGAGCCAATTTTTGGAACGGTGGTGAAATATATGGAACTCCGGAGCACAATTCTCTGCACATTCTTCGAAATTATTTCGCGAAACACCCAGAGGCTGCAGAGAAAGTTGTTCTTAGCATAAAAGGAGGCATGATAAAAGGGCAGCTCAAACCAGACGGTTCCGAGGAAAATCTCCGGCGGAGTGTAGATGATTGTTTATCGATCCTAGATGGTACAAAGGAGATAGACATTTTTGAATGTGCCCGGCTGGATCCTAAGTACCCAGTCGAAGAAACCATTGGCCATCTCGCAAAAATGGTCAAGGAAGGAAAGTTTAAGGCTATCGGTCTAAGCGAGGTTGATGCAGAGACAATACGTCGCGCGTAAGTAGTCACATACAGATGGACCCAGACCAAAATATCAACAAACTGACCTCGGGCAATTACAGACACAAAGTCCACCCGATTGCGTCAGTCGAGGTTGAATTATCCTTGTGGACTCCAGATATCCTCAAAAACGGAGTTGCTTCGACCTGTGCGGAGCTTGGGATACCCATTGTAGCCTACTCTCCGCTTGGCAGGGGTGCGCTGGCGGGTGGATTGACTAAAGCCTCCGATCTTCCTGAAGGCGATATACGACGCATTTATCCAAGATTCCAAGATGAGGCCATGGCCACCAACATAAAATTCATCGAGGATGTTAAATCATTTGCTCAAAGGAAGGGCATAACAGCCGCTCAAGCTGCATTGAACTGGGAAAGGACGCTAAGCAACAGCAGCAACATGCCAACCATCATCCCGACACCTGGAGCCACCACCAAGGAGCGGGTGATGGAGAATATGCAAACGATGCCTTTGTTTTCCGCCGAAGAAATGAGAGAGATTGACGAGATGATTAACGCAAGCACTATAATTGGTGGAAGATATCCTCCTGCCCACTAGTTCCATATGAACACATAAATGTCCATATAATTTTAATAGCATATGTATATATATAGATAGATAGATAGATTTTCGGGTACTTTGCTCGAGAATTTGTTATCTACTTTTCATGTTTAGTTTCGCGCAAACCTACTGTGCTGCACTGTGGGAAAGTCAGATAAACTTATACTGAAATACTTCAAAATTGCGACGAGTAAATCAAGGGGTACGAAGTGGAGCAATCAGATCAAGTGTAGGAATTGTGTCAACAGTCAATTTCACAAGATAAATGGAAATTGTCAGTATTGCAGAATTCTCTTATTTCATCATTTGTAATTTTTAGAAACGCAACAAAGAAAAGTGCAAGATCATCTTACAAGAATGAGAACCCATATATCCGCCAGAATCCCGCCAGAAGTTCTCTCAAGGTGGCATTATTATAACACTGTTTGCAAAAATCATCCAGAACGGAAAGGCAGAAACCAAGGCTTTAGTTCAAGGGTCCTTCAATCTAACTAAGCATCATAATACCACATTGGAAACTGCCTAGAGGAGAATGACTTTAGGTCAAATGAACGGTGAAGTTGTTGCAAGATAAAGTGGGAAATTGTTAAAATTGAAGATCTTTATAGCCAGAGTTAATATTTGATCATGTGACCTTGGTTGCCATGAGCTGCGCACCTCAACCATTCAACATCAAACATTCATTGTTCAGCCAGCACAGATTGCGGTAATTCACAGTAGATATTTTGCTCACTCACTGTTCAAAGATTGGATAACACAGACGTTGCCCCTAGCAATGGCTGACTCCCCCGGCTCTCCTCTCTCCTCTCTTGCTTCTGATGAGTTCGCGGAGGACATGAAGTTCGAGGACCATCACTCACCAACTGTTTCGGCATCCCAAATGCCACCTTCAAAACGTCGTCGCACTGGTATCGCATCATGGGATCGACATACACCCATCTCATCCATTCATGAAGATATCCCACCAGCATCTCCTACCGCTTCGATCTCATCCGATACCTCTGGTGAGCTGCCAAATTCACCTTTCACCCTGGCCCTAATAGGCGGTGGTGTAGAGGACGACTACAGCGGACAGGGACGGGATCAAGTCACTGTTTGCCAATGGGAAGGATGCAATGCGAATGATCTGGGAAATATGGATGCTCTTGTCAAACATATCCATGATGATCACATTGGATCTAGACAGAAAAAGTATCTATGCGAGTGGAGTGATTGTGCTAGGAAGGGCCAGACACATGCGAGTGGGTATGCATTGCGAGCGCATATGAGAAGCCATACAAAAGAGAAACCGTTCTATTGTACTTTACCCGGTAAGCTTTCTTCCGTCCTTGCGCCAATAAGATGTCGATACGAGAGATGCCAAGTTCATCCCACTAAGAATCTTTCGTCAAAATAGAGTGCGATCGAAGCTTCACACGCTCAGACGCTCTTACAAAACACATGCGAACCGTTCATGAAACTGATGTCCTTCGCCCTACGGATGCTACTTCAAAAGGAGGTGCCAGCGCGACGACAACAGGCATCGCTAAACCAACCCGGATCAAACTAAAGCTCTCCCAGCCCGCAAAGGAGGGTAGCCATGACGGAGACAAAAACGATATCACGAAAGAATCGGATCCGTCAACAATTCCCTACCTCGGTCCCGAATTAGGATTCGACGACCACGAGCTTTCCCTTTCCCCGGAGCAGTTGTGTCATCTTCTATGTCGCCAGATCCACTGGGCGGAGCAAGAAGCTGCCCAGCTGAAGCGTGACTGGGATATAATAGAACCTATTAGAAAGGAGTCATGGAGAGATAAAGAGTTAATTTTCGAAGACGTCATACATGCGGAACTTCGTGTGTTCAAGTCCGCTATATCTGCAGAGGATCTGGCTATTGCTCCAGGGAGGAATGGGGCCATGCCACTTAACGAAGCCTCGTTGTCGGTAATAGCGAGTAAAGGGACTGAGGTGTCGAGATCGAATGATCCTCCTGACTCTATTAAGCTCGATACCAAAACTACACAAGAGACAGGACCCGTTGAGGCTTGATTATTGCACTACTGGCAAATTATTTTTGTACTCTATTAAACTTCTCTCCATTTTGCTTTTCATTTGTAATGAGAGCTTTATCTGGCGAACAGGGTATGGGACACGGTTACTTAGTGAAACCTGAGCTTCTCTTTTTGATATTGCAAAGAACATTGGCATGCTTTCTTTTGATGTAAAATTATTCTTGTCTAATAATTTGCTATCATCCCCACTTTGTGCTCTTTTATCCTTCAAGTTCTCCGATTAAGCATGATCAATGCGAACAGTTATCTCCTTCACTCTTCATCCAACCTGACAAGCTTTGGATTGAAATAATTAGAACGATAGTTAACTTCACCCAACCAGCATGATAAACTGTATTCCTGTCCCATGATCAAATAAGTATCAACCCATGACATTTCAGAAAAAGGGCAAAGATCCATCTAGTAAGGATGCTTGGCAACGGATCTACGGGGAAACGCCTGTGACAGTGAAAGAGGCGCATCTGGAATGGGTTTTCAAAGTAAGTGCAACAAGTCAACTGGCCCATCAAAAAAGATTAGTTTCTCCATGCGTAAATCTCATCTGTCAGAGATATTAACCTCCAGTAATTGAAGCAGCCCCAACTCCAGTTCCGTAACCGAGGTTGACAAGAATGGTAAGGCTGCTTGTTGAAACGAGAGCTTCCATTTCAGAAATACGGTATTTTAGAAGGAAGGATATCTTCCACAAACAAGCATTCATTGAGATTGAGCTCCATATGCTGGGCAAAATTGGTAGTTCAACGGGCCAACCGCACAAAGGATGGGCGTGTGCCGGAGTTTCGGCTGGAGGCAATGTAAAATGGATTCGCGAACCTCCAGTTCGTGAAAGAGAGCAACACGAAATATCAATCACCTCTATTTAAATAACTGAAGTCCCTGTCGACGGCCTGAAGTAAAGAGATGAGGAACATTACTTCTCCAACCAAGAGAGTAGAAATTATCAATATAAAGACCTCTATTATATAAAGACCCCGCATAATGTGTATGGATAAGCCCTGCTGCAACCCCAGCACTATGGGGGATAGGGCAACCGCCTACCTCCTTACTCTTAATCTTTTCACCGTTGCTCCTCACCACAGGCTCTCTCAGGATTACCGCTCATCATAGGTCCAAAAGGTTCATCTCCACTCAAGACGCATGTCAGGGATCTCAGATATGCTCGGCCCCATTTCCCTGGAGGCCGCAGGACTCTCGCCCCAAACTTGCTCAAACAAACTCGCTGGCTTTTTGCCAACCCTGACACCCCTCAAAAAGCAAGCACAAAAGCGCTACTTGCAAGAGTTGCTCCCAAGCTTCAAGGAGCATTTGACGGTGTTGGGAATCGAGCCTAGGCTGGCGCGGCCACAACGTGACATCTTACCACTCGACCACACCATCGATCTGTATAATTCGATAGCTCCACCTGCTTGGTAACCACCGTGCAGCCAACGTTGATAAAGTAACTCTATTGTGTGCTCCACTATTGATGTCAATCTGGTTACTTGAAGTTGGTGATGAAGAGAACCCTTACATTCTGTAGCATATATATTATCCATTCGCTGGTAAGACAACACGCAAAAGCCCTTGAAGGAGATCGCAATCATCTCAGAAAAGAAAAAAAAAAAAACCACGCGGACAAGTGGGCAATGATCAGGGAAAGGTGTACGAATTTGATATCAGTCTGCTTCTGCTCTCGGCTGCTCTCATCCAAACCGTGAGATATGTTCAGCTACCAAAACTCCTTGATCGACGTCAAGATCAGGATTGTTAGTTAGCTCTGACGACTCCTCTTTCTGCTTCGTCAAAAAAGTAAGGATACGGATCCGAGAAACAACCAAGACCAACTTAAAAGAACAAGAAATAATTCCATATTTGGCACAGTTCAACCATATACTAAAGGTAAAAGGATCACATCGATGTTAATGGCATCCCTAATATTTTTGAATTATCCGTCTCTGCCTCCCAAAACAAGTCGAACCATTGTCGGGTTGAAAAGATTTGCTAGCTCCCTAACAAGGCCCGGTGATCTGCCTTTCTCGTGCCAGCCCGCTAGACAATGACCCCACGAGAGATACGATCAGTGCAGAAAAATGTTGGAGACAAAACGATATAATCAGGATATATCTAGCGAAAAGATGGATCCATTGGTTGCGGGCAAAATTTTTGTAAGGCTGTCGAGGGATGAACAGTCCCTAGACGGCGCGATTCTAACGTGCAGCAGTCACATATATCAAAAGAAAAAAGAAAAAAGAAAAAAGAAAAAAGAAATAACAACGAAAGCATGTTGTATGAGACAGGAGACAATAACCTCAAATGATAAAAAAATAAAAAATAAAAAAATAAAAAATTAGAAGTGCACCGTAGTGAAAAGCTCGTGACGCAAAATCTCAAGCAAATATCCCACAATTGAAAAGTCTCCTATAGAGTTCCAATGAGATAAAGTTAGAACGCCGTCGCCATGCAGGAACAAAAAGAAGAAAAATGGATGAAATAAAAATAAAGAGGAGATGATAGATGATAAGATAGAAAATATAATCCGCAATACACAACTGCGACAAACTCTAGAGAACATAAAAGGGACGGTATATGAGCCACGTGCTGCTATAAGACCACAAACTCCAGGCTGAGTAGATATATGCTGGGGAAGAAGAGAAAACGCAAAGAGTAGAGTCAAAAACCAGACATCCTATCAAATAGTTGTTAACAGATAGATGCCCTAAGACAATCGCAAAAGTTGTCATTGACAGGGCTGCCTTGTTCCGCACATTTAAGCTTTGCAAAAATTGTTGACAAGCACTCGAGGTGCATTGATCGTGGATTATCGACGTTGTTGGGCCGATTCACCGTTTTCAGCAGCGACAAGACGATCGAACATGTTAAGGAGAGCTGTTGCCGGAGTACCCTTGTTGGGCCAATAGGTCGCAGCGTATCCCCTATTGGAGCTCGTTAGTATGTAAATTAAAAGCATATGTTGGACACACATGAAAAACGGGGATAGAGAAAGGGAAAACAGAAAATCAATAAATAAATAAATAGAAAGAAAGATAAAAGTCATACCACAACCGCTCCTCCAACGAAGCTGGTGCCTCTCTACCTTCCAAAGTGTCACGGATAAACTCCCCAATAAGACGCAGTAACCGGCGCAGCTCCCCTGCCCTATCAGTCTTGCTTGGGATGTTCTCCTTGGTGACCTGCGATACCCGCTTGAGATGCTCCCGGATAGGCTTGAATATAACCCTGAGCACGCCGTCATTACTACTAACGCCGCTTCCACCATGGTCGTTGCTATGGCGGTAACGATCTCTCTCATCCCGACTACCCTTCATGCGAGGACGGTCAGACCTGTAACCGTCAGCAGCGGAGTTGTTGGTAAAATCAGCACACTCTCGAGATCTGTGGTGAGCACGAGATCGTGATTTGTCCGAGTCTCGTGGCTTGCGGGGTAGGGAGGGTGCCGGGGACGCCGAGACACTCCCACTCGCATGACCCTTGGAATGCAACCCGTTCTTCTTGATATTGCGGTGATGGTTCTCTACAGCTCTCTTCGCTAGCATGTTCGAACCATTGGTCATTTTGTCCTTCAAGACTGACAAGAGATAGTCTGCACGGCGGACCAGATGGACAGCTCCGGGAGACTTAGTTGCACCTTTCCCACCACCATTCATGCGTTCCGCTTTCCGGTCAACCCGATGCTCCTCGAGAAAAAACTTGTCGGCAAGGGCAAGATCGGGGTCATCGCGAATCTGAGTCCAGGCACCGTAGCCGTGGCGAGCGATGCCAATGCAAAGCATGCCATCTTCGCGAGCACCCCATGGGCATGTATAATCAGCGCCTTTCGTAGCTTCTGGGATACGAAAGCTTTTAGGATCAGCAAGATCAGCAGTTGCATCTCTCAGGATACGCATTTCATTAGGTCTTTCCACAATCGTTTCTGCATTAAGCCGTTTCACACCTTGATGGTCGAAAAGAATCGCCTTCCTCTCTTTCTTAGTGAAACCCTTCCCTTCGCGCTCAAGGGCATTGAGTCGGTTATTCTCCTCCTTTAGAAGAGCATGTGCTTTCTCGATCACATCACTCAAAGCAGCTTTCACCACAGCTATATCCCGGCCAATCAGCCTAGCTTCCCGAATTAAATCATCTTGTCGGTCATTAATGTCACCATATCGAAGATATGCACGGATAAGATGTCTATACTCCTTTTCGCTGAGTGGTCGACTGGGGTCTGGAGGAGGTGGAGCATCAGATACATCGTCAGCGTCAATGTTAACTTGCTCTCGTGCACGTCGCTTTGCCTGGCGCTCCTGCCGTCCATCCAATGGTTCTTTCCGTTTACGCGGCTGATTTCGCTCGATCTCTTGTGCCAGGAACTGCTCATGGGCCCGGCGTTCTTCCTCTGCTTTAATCTGCTCAAGTTCCTCCTTTGGAATGATCTGGTCCCAAGTAAGCTCATCCACTTTCACATCAACAAACTCAAAGGCTTTTAGGAATTCTTCTCCACCATCAGCCTCCATGCCTTCAGCCTGTTCTGTTTTGTGCTCTTCAGCGTTCTCCAGCACAGAGTCGATATCCAGCTCCTCCAGTTTCTTTTGGTTTCCAGATTGCTCAAACATACGCTGACCGCGACGCTTGAGAATGCGAGATATGTCGTCAGAAGAGGTGGGTTCGCTGATTTGGGCACCAGCACGGGCCATTTTGTCTTTGAGTTCAATCGCTTCTTTATCAGTAACTCCTCGCTGTATAGTAATGAATTCAAGCAGTAGCTTATTTCGCGCTCTTTCAAGGACCTCTTCTTCAACAGTATCCTTGGACACAAGACGATATACGCTGACGGGCTTAGTCTGTCCTATTCTATGAGCGCGTGCCATTGCTTGCAGATCAGCTTGAGGGTTCCAATCTGAATCAAAGAGGACAACTGTATCGGCGGTCATGAGGTTAATTCCCAGGCCTCCCGCACGAGTGGAGAGGAGGAAAGCAAAATCATTGCTATCCGGAGCATTGAAGTGTTCGATAGAAAGACGTCGGGGACCGGCAGCGATTGTGCCATCTAACCGTTGATAGGCGTAGCCACGAACATCCATGTAGTCGGCTAGGATGTCAAGCATTCGAACCATTTGGCTGAAAATCAAAACACGATGGCCATCCTTCCTTAATTTGGCCAAAAGCTGATCCAACAACATCATTTTGCCACTGCTCGTGATGATGGCACGCATCATTTCTTCACGGCCAGTCTTCCCCTCTAATATCCTGGACTCAGCGTTGGGAAACATAAACGGATGATTGCTGGCCTTCTTTAGCTCCATCATGATATTAAGCAAGGACTGCTTCTGGCCTTTACTTCCTTGGTTTAGAGCAGCATAGTTTTTCGTCAGGATGTTTTTGTAGTATTCAAGTTGGACATCTGATAATTCGACTCGAATAATCTTCTCTGATTTCGGGGGCAGATCCGATTCAACCTTTGATTTAGTACGGCGAAGCATGTAGGGTTGAATGGATTTGGTAAGTTCCGCTAACTTCACACCGGCCGCTTCACAACTCAAGTCCATGTCATCGTCAATTTGGATGAGCCCGGGGTTTAAGAAATCCATCAAAGCAGAGAGTTCACCAAGGTTGTTCTGAACCGGGGTTCCGGTGATGAGCAGTCGACTAGGTGACTTGAATTCGACGAGCCTAGAGTAAAGTTGCGAATCCCGATTCTTGAGTCGATGAGCTTCATCCACAGCCATAAACTGCCACTTGATTTGACTGAGGAAGGTAGCGTCAACGAGAACGTATTCATAAGTGGTCAAAAGGACATGGAACTTGGGCCGCCTAACATTCCCATCCATTAACAATTCATAATCCTTTATGATATTCCGAGAAACTTCGTTGCCATTGTAGACAACGTAGTTCAGATCAGGCGTCCAATTATCAAAGGTCTCCGCCCAGGAAGGCATTGTAGACAGCGGAACAACGACAATGAACGGTCCTTGCTGATTTCTAACATGCCGCAGCCAGCTTATAAAGGCAACCGTTTGGACAGTCTTCCCCAAGCCCATCTCATCAGCAAGGACTACATTTCGACCACGAACCCAGTTATACGCCATAAAGTTCACACCTTTGACTTGGAACTCCTTGAGTTCGCCGTTCTTAACATAGCTTGGGGTGCCATGGATAGGCTCGAAGGGAGCTCGTGTTGCAGGGTTTGATTCCATTTTGTTTGATATAGGTGGATGGGAGCAGCGGTCAAGATAACGATCGATTTCCCGCTGGGCAATCTCGCTGACGAGGGATGCAGGTTCCCAGGTACAGGAGTCATAAAAAAGCCGTTTCCATTTAACGTAGTACTCTGTTTCACCATCGACCTCACGAGAGCCGATGACACGTTCTGCTAGTTTATAATCTTCAATAGCATCCACATCACGTTCCCGGTCAAGATTCCATTTCTCCTTTTCCTCGGGAATGACTTCAGGGTCCCTCATGTACAGTATGGATTGGGACAAGGTTTTGCGGATGTAGTTCTCTAGCCGACGCACGCCCCTACAGCTGGCAAGAGATTCTAATGTCTCCCAAGTTGCATGATAATGGGATTTCCCTTGCCATTTAATATAGAACTCACAGTCATGGCGACTCAGGTCGTGCCGTGTGATGTCAATGCCGTCCTTCAACCTATAGTTGAGCACGACATCAATGCCGGGAGTTGTGTCATCGACTGCCGTAGCCCATTCACCTGGTGTCATCATCCCTGATTCATCTTCGAATTCATCGTCATCGTCATCTTCATTATAATTAGATACTCTATTCGCACGTCTAGTAGAAAAGCGGATTTCGGCATGGGTGGGTATTAGGTTGTCGGCAGACTGAGCCAGTCGTCGACGTTTGGATTTTGAGGTTCTCCTACGCGAGCCTTGATATTCATCGCTATTGGAGTCAGACGCAGATTCTATTGATTGGGAGAGGGAGGGACGTTGTGATGAACGATTTGGGGTGCGTCGTCTCCGCTTCGAAGCGGGTGCAACAGCGTCAGAGTCGGAATCGGAAGTGGTATGGGCTGTCTGGCGCACAGATCTCGCTCGGCTACTGCGACGCAACCCATATAAACTTGGATTATTTCTTATAAAGTCGTCCTCAATTATGGGGGATTTTCGCTTTGTGCCCCTCTTCAGGTTATGAGTCGATGAGTTGGCCGAGATAGAAGCGAGATGCGCGCCAGAGGCGTCTTCGACAGCGGAATCAGCATCATTCTCACTCATGGCCCTTTCAGAAACTGGAGAAGCTAGGCCATCGGTATCATTGTCATTATCCGATGAGTCGGAATTTATCTCCGCATTAAACTCCTCAGCGGGATCGTCGGACTCCGCATCCCCACTCTCAAGATGCTCCGCATCTTCATCGGAGGAGTGTTCCTCGTCAGCACTGGCTGCGGACATGTCGCTCACGTTACCGATGTTTGAGGATTGATTATCATGTTTCTCGTTAATATCATTTGTGAGGGAGGACTGGTGGCCGTTGGGCAATGTAGACGGCATCGAGGCGGACGGGATCACCATGCTACAAGCTATGAGATTGAAAAGTCAGCATTGGGGAGCAATTAAGCCTGAAAATGCATTTTAAAGCATGGGACGAGCTACAAGACACATATGCGACTGGAGATACGAGTTGCAGAAGTTCTATAACTGGTAAGAGAGGGTAGCATATGTAGATTTGATGGGATGTATTGGTTTTATAGATGGGTTGATGAAATAAGGATGAAGAAGAGATGGCGCGCAGCAAAACCAGAATAACGAGACATAAAGATGAGCAATCAATACTGTAACAATCACAGCATCGATTTCATCAACATAGCAAACAGCGGAAGGCCCTCGACATCCAAACGAAGAGTGTCAAGGGGTAACAGGGTGGGTCAAGGATGGTAGATGGAGAAGTACACAAGCGAGCGGCGCGTGACGGGATTCAGTCGGCGAACAAGGGAGAAAAGAGAAACTTACGATCCATAGCTTGGTGGCCCCGAGGCAGAAATACGTAGCTAGCAATATGGAAGAAAAAAGAGTGTGGGTGGGGGGTGGAAAAAGGGGGGAGCGGAAGCGGGAGGATGCTTCATGGGAGTTCTGGTGGAGAGAGTTTTTAGGAGGAGGGAAGAAACGAAGATGAACGAGTGAAGAGTTGGTGGTTGGCGGTTCCCAAGAATCAACAGCCGCTCCATTGCCAAGGCTTGTTTCGCAAAGGGTTTAGCGGCTGGGCGAGGTTGGACAAAGGCCGCGAAAGGGGCACCGGGCCAATGACGCTAGGCTGGTCTAGGTTTAGCGGAGGCCATTTTAAGCGACTTGGATGACTACGCCATGGCACTCCGCTTATCGCCTCTGCCCAGTACAACGCACTATGATTGGTCAACTGCCGCTAATATTTACTGGTGTCACGTGAGACTTTCTTCCCTTTCCGGTTAGAGGATTGAAACTTACGCAGAGGTACCACGCAATACAGAGGTGTATTGTGGGATAATACTAGTAAATGTTTTAAATCAAGGGTTATTTTTTTTATTTTATATGTAAAAGATACTCCAGTAAAAGTGTTCAATTATCGGTGGGTATCAGCAATGGATGCATAAGTGGGCTGATTGATGGTTTCGAATGCCCCCAGTGGCACTCGGATGTCCAGCCAGTAGAATCCGCTGCATTTCTGCCTGACTAATTTCCAGGTTGGCTCTGTTCGTCGCGTAGTCCGTACCGTACGGTAAAATATTTCCTGGCAGCCAAAAAATGTCCCACTCGCACTTTTTGAGATCCCACAATTCCTCACTCTGTCCGCCAACTCCCTCACTTCTATCTCTTGGGTTTCTCTCTCGGTTAACTTGGTTCCTTTTCTTTTTCGTATACAACCCCCGGTCGGTCCTCCTCGCGAGGCTTCACCTGCTATTTTGGACGGTTTTCAGCGCATATCTCTCGACGTCGAAGCAGGTGAAGGAACAACATCGTCTCCATATTTATTCCTCGACTCTAAACCACACTCGAAACATTCACTACCGTCATCATGTCTGACAAATTGACTAGGTTAGAATATATCTGTCTATTTCATTATTTATTAAAATTACTGACTATTGTCCTCCAGAATTGCCATCGTCAATAGTGACAAGGTGTGCAATGCACCTACCATTCCCCTCAATTTTTGACCCGAGAAGGGTATCTGGGATAAATATCACAACTTCTGCTAATCAATATACTTTATGATTCATACAGTGCAAACCCAAGGTATTTCATATCCCTCCATTCGTCTATCCGCTCTAAACACTTATCTAATATATCCCCTCAGAAATGCCGTCAGGAGTGCAAGAAGTCATGCCCAGTTGTTCGCACCGGCAAACTCTGCATCGAAGTCACCCCTGAATCGAAGATTGCTTTCATTTCGGAACGCCTATGTATAGGATGCGGTATCTGCCCAAAAAAATGCCCATTCGGTGCCATCCATATCATCAATTTACCCACCAACCTCGAGACCCAGGTCACCCATCGATACTCGGCAAATAGTTTCAAACTGCACAGGTTGCCTATGCCGCGGCCAGGACAGGTTTTGGGTCTTGTCGGGACCAACGGTATTGGCAAGAGCACTGCTCTCAAGATTCTCAGTGGAAAGCTGAAACCAAACTTGGGCCGATATGACAATCCCCCCGATTGGGAGGAGATCTTGAAGTACTTCCGTGGCTCAGAATTACAAAGTAGGACCCTACAAAAAAGAAATATCCCTTTTCATTCCCTTTTAATCAAATGTTAACTGAAATTTCTCTAGACTACTTTACGAAAGTCCTTGAAGACGATTTGAAGGCCGTTGTCAAGCCGCAGTATGTCGATCAGATTCCCAGGGCAGTTAAGGGTCCAACTAAGGAGGTGGAGCTCCTTATCAAAGCACGCTCTCAGATGGACAATATGGACCATATTATGGAAGTCCTTGGTATGTGGTCATCTCTTTCATCTGTCGCGTCACATCCACTAATGAGGTTATCCCACAGAACTCAATCAAGTTAAGGATAGAGATGTTGGGCTTCTTTCAGGAGGAGAGTTGCAGAGATTCGCCATCGCCCTTGTCTGTGTCCAGCAGGCTGATGTGTAAGGCCCCACCTCTATTCGTATATCTCCAACAGGAAGCTCACTTCAAGTTTAGGTACATGTTTGACGAGCCGTCATCCTACCTGGATGTCAAACAGCGTCTCAGCGCCGCCCGTATCATCAGAGAACTCCTACGCCCAGATGATTATGTCATTGTAGTTGAGCACGATTTGTCCGTTCTTGACTATCTGTCTGACTTCATTTGCGTTCTCTACGGTCGCCCTGCTGTATATGGTGTTGTCACCCTACCTTCCTCCGTTCGTGAAGGTATTAACATTTTCTTGGATGGGCATATCCCCACGGAGAACTTGCGATTCCGTGAAGAGTCCCTTACATTCCGGATCGCGGAAGCTGGAGATGATTTCTTGGTCGACAAGGGAAGAGCATTTAGCTACCCGAAAATGGAGAAGACTCTAGGTGGTTTCCATCTCTCTGTCGCCCCCGGTCAATTCACCGATTCTGAAATCATTGTCATGATGGGTGAAAACGGAACTGGAAAAACGACATTCTGCAAACTTCTTGCTGGTGCAGAGAAGCCAGATGGTCGCACAACTGTTCCACCAATGAACATCAGCATGAAACCGCAGAAAATCACCCCCAAATTCCAAGGCACCGTGCGCCAACTGTTCTTCAAGCGTATCAAGGCGGCTTTCCTGTCCCCTCAATTCCAGACTGACGTCTACAAGCCACTCAAGCTCGATGACTTCATTGACCAAGAAGTCCAAAACCTCTCTGGTGGTGAATTGCAGCGTGTCGCTATTGTTCTCGCACTCGGTATTCCCGCAGATATCTACTTGATCGATGAGCCTAGCGCCTACCTGGATTCTGAACAACGTATCGTGGCTGCCCGAGTCATCAAGCGTTTCATCATGCACACCAAGAAGACAGCTTTCATCGTCGAACACGACTTCATCATGGCAACTTATCTTGCTGACCGCGTTATCGTTTTTGACGGCAAGCCATCCGTGGATGCCCGAGCCAATACTCCAGAGTCTCTTTTGACCGGATGCAACAAGTTCTTGAAAAATCTGGATGTAACATTCCGCCGTGATCCAAACAGCTACCGCCCGCGAATTAACAAGCACCAGAGCCAGCTTGACCAGGAACAAAAGTTGAGTGGAAATTACGTAAGTTTTAACTATCTCCTACTCCAAACAACACCTTCACGCACTTCATTTGATTTCCACGTCTTTTTTGCATTTTACTAACTTCAATTCTAACGACAGTTCTTCCTGGAAGAAGAGAGTTGAAAAAGGTGTCCCACGAGATCATGACCGTGACGGTCCCCACAACCGGCGCCATCGTATACGACACTTCAGTAAAAACGGCGTTGACGTGTTAGCATTTTCTGGCGTTAGCAAAGGCGCTGGAGGCCGAAAGGGGAAACGCAGCTCCGCGGGTCTCTCTGACGAAGACTCATCGGTTGGAGGCGACGACGACGGTGAGGACGATCTGGAAGTTGGCATGGACGGCAGTTCGTTCTCCAGCCTTTTGTCCAGATTCTCTGTGCGATGCATGTCCGTCTCCTCCTGATTACGAAGCCGCGTCCCCTACCTTTCATTGCCCAATGCATTTGTTTAGGCCAATCTCAGTTTAATATTTTGTTACTTACTTATTCCCTTGACAAAATGGGTTGGCGTATTTTCATGCTTCGGTACAGGAAAAATAAATGGGTAGAACTGGGAATATGGACTTTAACGAAATTATGAACGACTTCTCGTATTTGATGAAAAGTTTTCCTTTTTTACGGACTCGACTGGACCTGGTATGTGCTACACAGGAGGTTAATGGTCAAACAACATAAAACAAGACGACAAAACTTGGCTGTCACTCAATACCCCGCCCCACTTAGTTTACTAGAAGCGGTCCAATTTTATCTCATTGGTCTTTTTTTACACCCTTTGCAACACGATGCGAATATTTATATTTTCCCTCGTGGTTTGTTTTCTATTTCAAGCTGTTTTTCAACTTCTTTGGCGTCTTGTCCTACCATATTCTCCTTCCATTGCTTTTTAAAGCCATCCCTTTGTCCACGTTTCTGAAGCTCAAACATCAGGGTATCCCCTTTACCCGCCCAAAAACCAGAAACATTCCGCGGTAGGATGGCGTTGTGGATTCTGGGAAGGGAAATGCTCCCTCAGCCGCCACGGACACTGATGACGACTGAAGATTCAAAAGGCATTGTGGCAGCCTTCAAACTAGTTATATAACAGCTTATGTCCATTCTTTTGCTTGATATAAAACAAAATTGTTAAAGATATCAATGAAAAGGACATCTAATCTCAACCTTCGTCATTCACTTGATATGTTTATGCTCTGTAGAGCCATAAGTAAAAAATGCAAAGGTTTTCACAAGGTATCCGTGTTATGTTTGGCATCCCCTGTTCTTTCGGATTGTGGGGAATTGTAGAGCTTGTTCTCTAAGTTTTGTTTTAAAATAACCTACCTCATTATGGGGCAGTGATCGTGACAAAATAAACCCGGGAAGCACAAGTTCAAATACGGTACCGCACGGCGACTAGGTGAATATCCCCACACCGTACCTCGACCCTTTCAACAAATAAAATATTACCTAGAAGAAGCAATAATACATCCCATAACCTAGCTAAACAAAGCTAAATCAGTCCTCATATTCCATCAACTCAAACTACCCTGTCCCTGGAACGCCAATCACCATCATCTCACCACACCTACACCACCACAATCACTCCTCCTCAATTTCCCCCTCCTCACTGCCAGAATGAACCGCTCTCTCCTCCCTCACCACGTCTGCAACCTTCTCCGGCGTCTTCTCACCCTCCCTCAACCTCTCCCTCTCCTTCTCCCTCCTCCCCCCATCCCCATCCCTCCTATACCTCTTCGCCCCTCGAGTCCCCACACTCTCCGTCTCACTATCCCTCCTCTTCCTCCGCTCACTCGTAACCGTACCCGTAGTACTACGAGCCGTCTCCCCGTTCCCCCCACCACCATAATCCAACTCATCCCGACTTCCCCTCGGATCCGCACGGGAACGATACAGCCTCTCCCGCTCATCCTCCCTCTCACGCCTGTCACGCTCATAATGGCTAAGCAAATGACGGCTGCTGGGCCTATCTCGGTCGCGCTCCCGGTCGCGATCCCTCTCTCTCTCGCGTCCCCGGTCACGATCACGCTCACGCTCGCGCGATGGTGCGGGGGATAACCCGCTGGCTTTCCGGTAGGATCTCTCGCGATCAGCCTGCGCTTTGCGGCGGTCCGCTTCGTAGGCGTCTGGCTCTGGCGTGCGGCTGAGGCGGCTTGCTGTTGTCCCCCGTCGCTCGCCTCGGTACAAGTGACCATTGCGATAATTGTGATCGCGCTCACGGTCACGGTCAGAGCGATCATAATGATCACGACGGCTGTTGGTGCGCTCGCGGTCGCGCTCACGGTCTCTTTCGCGGTCACGATCTCGTTCAGCGTCTTCTTCCTTCTCCTTCAGACGGCGGATGACTTTATCAAAGGCAGTGCGGCGCAGGTCGTCCGTGTCAAGGGCGCGGTATTCCTCTGACTTCTCGACGCGGGGTTTTACTTGGTCCCAGGTGTCGGAGGCGCGGATTGGGGGGTCGAGATGTTTGATGCGGGAGCGGAGCGCGTCGATGGCACGGCGCTGGTGGCGGTCTGCAGCATGTTTCTCGTCTTCGGTGCGGCGAAGGACTTTTTCCTTGATGCGGTCGAAGATGAGTTGGAGTGTATCACGGTCGATTCCGGCGGTGCGTCGGTCAGTAGCCATGATTTCGTTGAATTCTTCATATGTAGTCTTTGGTGTAACCTCATATCGTTTATCCTAGTCTTATGTTAGAGCTGGACTGCAGACAAGATAAATTATGGGCGTCGAGTAAGGGTTCCTACATCTAGAACATCCAACACATCATTTCTCGGGCCTCTCAGAGCTCTCTCCTCCTCTTCCACGATATCCCAGAAAAGATCCAAAGGCGTAGACCCTGGTTGGCCGAGCATTGTGATATATCGAGGATCATCCTGTATTAAGGGAAGAATATTCATCCATTTGCTGCCAGCTTTGATGTTCCCTTGCTTCCTCAACTCCTGCAGTAACTCAATGTACTGATCTCTATTCTTGCGCTCCCTCCTCGCCTTGTTAGTCTTCTGCTGCTGACGGGCATCATTGAAATTGCGTTCAAGAGTTTTGATATGGTTTTCGAAAGCAGTTAGAATATCCGATTTAGTCAGGGCTTTGAACTTATCATCATTCCTAACCCTTTCATTCGACTGGATAATCCCCTGCGCCTCTGCCCATCTGGTATACGGCTCCAGTTCCAAGGCCTTCAGAATATCCGCAAGGTCCTCCTTGGCCGCCTTCCGTGCCGCAATTTCCTTTTCGGCATTCTCTTTCTTAAGCTCGAGAACATACTCCTCAAAAAGCTGCCTCCTCTCATTCTCATCACTGGTCGATCTAAAAATCGTCTCCCCTTCGATGATGGGTCGAATCGTCTTCCATCGTGAGTAGTGTTTGATTTCCGGATGGCTTCTTAGCATCGTACCAAAATCTGTGCGGAGTTTAGCCAGTCTCTCTTTGGCGCGATCCTTTTCCTGCATGCGAACCTCAACGGCATATTTCTCGAAAGCCGCCTTGCGGTCCCTTGGGTCTCTCAGGGCGCGGAACTGAGGATCCTTGATAATCGACCGGATTGTCTGCTCCCATGTCCAGTCCGGTTGGACATTGCTGCGCCGTAGCAGCTTCATAAATGCAGCCTCGGCCTCCTCGAAGCTGGCGTATTCTGGTTCGTTCTGCTCGGTTTTAACGGCGGATGAGGCTACCATACCATTTGTATCAGGTGCGCCAAACCCACCACGTCGATCTGGTGCGCTCCGATCATGGTCGTCACGGTCACGATCACGGTCACGGTCACGATCACGATGCTGGTGATAGGTTGGAAATGAGGAGGTACCGCCAGCGACGAAGGTTGGGGCGCTAGAGTTTGCAATAGTTAGAGATGCAACTTGCGGGCGAAAACGAACAAACCGAACTTACGCAGGTGTAGGTCGCTGAGGAGGTTGCTGAGCAAGTGCAGCTTTGTAAACATCAGGCATCTCCCATGAACTCTGCTTGGTCTCCGTATTATACCAATACTTTCGCCCGCCCTGCGCGGTATATTCTTTCCATGGTTGATTTGCCAAAGCGCGCTGTTCAAGGAGTGCATCATCAGCAACTGATGTTATTAGCCATTTAATACGGGAGTATGATATCCAACCCACCTCTGCAGGAGTCATCAGCTCCAGTGGCTTTGTCCACTGGGTAGCCTTGGTCTGGACATTATAGTAATAGACTCTACCGTCGGCATTCCTGGCTTCCTGCCACAACGCTGGAGGCGCTGGCATGCCATTGATGACATTCATGGCCGACATGGGTGAGCAGCTATAGATGAGACCTGAACCCGCGCTGCCCTGCTAGTCACGATCTAATCTGTGGAATATTTATCCTCAGCTGCATGAATTGTGTTCATGAATATAAAATTCCAGATGTTGAAGTCCGCTAAGAAAACGGACTGAGATCGGGTTGGCTGCAGTCACTGCTGCTGACTAAACATTACCTCTGCATGTTAACTAACTAACTAACTAGTTAACTGGTTACTCAGAATACAGTCGTCCCCTCAATATTCTGCATAAAGACTTACACGGTTAAAATGATGCTTTCATACACCCAGATACAGCTGCCCTGAAAATTCAATATTGGGTGAGTGGAGAATTGGATCAGGCGTTGACTTGGGCTGTGTTCTCTCGAACTGTTTTTGCCATGATTGTATGTGCTGTGCCATCTCATACACCAACTCTGCATAGTTTCTGCGTACACCTACCGTAATACAACTATGGCCCCAGAGGAATTCCTGCGTGGCGCAGTGCTGGATACAATAGTACCCTATGTCTCCGAAATCAATTTGGAGGAGACCCTGGATTCCTCAATCCAGGAAGACATTGACGAATCTTCATCCCTTCTACCTACAATCCGCCAGCGCTCCCTTCTCTTCTTTGGTATTCCTCAGTCCTATTCAAACCCTCCCTCTACGGCAAAAGACATTGACTCAAGAATCTTACTTATTCTCAGATATACTGAATAGATGAGCTCCTCCCCGTATACGTCGTTCTACGCCTTGTGAACTGCTCAGAGCATGCGTTGAAGGCCCAGTTGCTGAGATTAACGGTCCAGTTGGAGGCTTTTGCGGTCAACGGAACTAATGTTGAAGATGGTAGCAAACGCAATGGCGGCGCACAACAAATCAGGGACCTTATATTCTCTGGCACAGTGAGTGAGAGCGAAGATCCTCTGGTGGTTGTCAATGAGGTCGAGGGCGATGAGGATGTGGAGAACCATGTCTTTGTTATTTGGAAATTGGATACGTTTCTCAGTCAGTTGCCGCCAAATGGAGCCCAGGAATGAAGAAAATAGTATGAATATTAGAACTAATAGTTTTCCTTTTGCTGCTGAAGGCCGCCCTCGAGTTCGTCTCCAGCACCCATCTGTTGTGTTTAACGCATCTGCTATCCTGAGCCCGATCAATATATCGACTCAAGAACATGAAGATGAATACCTCCCAAGCGGCGTACCGGGATCCGTCAATGTATTCCAGTCTCTATCGGCCATTTCTTCCCAAGGGCGAAGCAATCCACATCCCTTTATGCCCGCCTCAAGGCTTTTGCGAGTGGTCCCAGCTACGCATGAAGAAAGATCAACATATCGCGTCCAACAAGTAACAGAACGCTCTATCCGTATCATACCCATTGCCAGTGCGAGAATCCGATATTCGCGGCTGAACACATACTCCAGCAAACCAACCACAATCGCCAGCCTCGACTTCGAAGTCACGCCCTTCACAAACTTCGACGTTATACTAGAAAAGATAGATCTAACCCTCTACAACGGCCAGGTAAAAAGCCTGACAATGGACAGTGGCTATGCGCCCCCAATAACCTGCCGCCCACGAGACGACACAACATTCATATATAAACTCACACCAGACCATGACATGTATGGCGCCTCAACAACCACCGCATCCCTCTACGCCCTAGACATATCCCTGGCAGCGGTAATCCTCGTTTCCGAAACCTGCCGACCACGAATATCCATGCAATGGCGCACGAACGTCGACTTCTCCATACCCCTAAACCCAACCTACGGCGCACCCAGCCAAGCCCTCCAGCGAAGTAACCGCCCAGCCAGCCTCCCCATGACCCCCAGCCAGAGCGGCGAAGCACCCACACCCAGCCGCACCACTAACACCAACTCCAGCAGCGCCGCAGCAGCAATGGCGATGACGAACCGACGGTCCCCTTCGTCCTCCTCCTACCTCACGACAGAGCTAGGCGTGACGATTTCATTCTCAGGCCCGACGAGCGTGGAAGTCGGCAAGCCGTTCCTATGGGACGTATTCATTGTCAACCGCTCACAAAAACAGAGAAAGTTTGCCATGGTTGCGCTCCCGCGGAGAAAGCGGGTGGATGTGCGCAGGTATATTGCGAGGCCGTCATCGTCGTCTGCATCTGGTGCTGGGGGTCGTCGGAGGGATGAGCAGCTGATTGCGGAGGCGGTGACAGATGAGAATATTGTGTATGCGATGCAGAAAAGTGCTATTCCGTATGAAACGGAGTTGATATGTTTGAGTCCGGATGTTAGAATTGGGTGAGGAACATCTGTTTTGCCTTTTTTTCCCCCCTGCTCTGCTACCTATTTATGTTTAATGGCATTGACTTATAATGAGCTTAACTGAGCTGACAACAACTAGCCCCCTTCTCCCTGGCACATGCCACTCGACAGAGCTCAAGCTTCTTCCGCTGGTTGCAGGTGCGTTGCACGTTGAAGCTGTCAGGCTGGTGGATTTGACTACGAATGAGACGATGGATATAAGAGACCTGCCAGATATTGTAGCGTTTGATCGACAGGTTCAGTAATGCATGTGCTGTATATGCATGCTACGGTACCTAGATAAATCTATACCCATTAAGTTTTATTAGAGTTTTCGAGTTCTCCTGGTTGAACTTCTGAGTATTATTATCAAATCTGTTGTGCCTCTGCAAGAAGTTAAATATCCCCAAAAAAGCTTGAGCGCGTTGTGGCTTTGATCGCTTCGCGTATTTGTATTTAGATCTATCTGCAAGCTACATTTAAACGCGGGAGAACACGCGAAAGATCTGTTGTAGACAAGATTATTCAAGAAAATACAAGCAACCATCATTTCCATTAAGGATACCTGATCCAATAGTATTTAAACATCGAAGATATCTATCAGGGTTGTGGGCGCTGTCCGCTCTATTTACTGAAATATTTAGAGTATTGTTTGTCACAACGTTGGGCTGTTTGTCAGACACTTGGTCTGGTTTAATTCAATCCAAACCCTCACCATCCACCTCACCATCCAACCGCTAGAATCTCTATCGCCATCGTCAAAATCCCTTCATAGCTACCAAGCATAAATCAAACCCCTTACTTATCAACTTCTCACACTCATACCTCGTTTATTGCCCGTCTATTGCTGCCTGGTCAACTTCCACCTCTCCGGTCCACTCAGAGCTTACCCGCCCAGCTTCGTTGCGTCATACAAAAAGCATATCCTGTCTTCCCAATCCCATCCTATCGTCGTAATTATCTCGACAATTCCTGGTAGAATCAAACGAAAATCTTTTTCCTGTCTCTGCCCGCTGCTTCATCATTTCCCCACTCTCCTATTTTTATATATCTCGACACAAACTAGGGGCTTTTTTTAATTTTTTTTTAATTTTTTTTTTTAATTTTTTTTTTTTATAATATCACTGAGCTCCTCTCCATCATGCTCGACTCAGCTAGGCGGAAAGTGCATGATGATTTGAATAGTCGATATATTTATGGTCGCGTGGTGAGTATTTTATTTTTTAAGGAACCGGTAAACAGAATTTGTTTTCACAAGGAGATCATCTCCTCTCTCTCTTCTTTCATAAAACGGATACAGTTTCATCCTGAGCTACGGCTAACCATTTGCTTTGCCAACTGCGCTCCCGACATCGAATTTAGCCGCTCTTGCACACAATTATCTTCCTGGTTGAAATGGCAATAACCATGAGACTGGCAGCCAAGTTCAACTCTTACTATGCGGAGAAGCCAGGTAATATCCCAATTCTGGTAGCAGTTGGACTGTAATTTATGAACTGTCTAAGCTGACAATATCGGGGCATCCAGTGTTGACCACTATGGTCACCAATGCCGTAAGCATCTCCATCTACCATCTTCATTCATTCCATACCGTCCGCTAACACCTTCCTGTCCATCTCCTCAGGTACTAGGCGGCATCGCAGACACAGTGGCCCAATCCATCTCCGCCGTACGAACACGCATGGCCGCCCGACGCCGCCAACGTACCTCCCAAAACAACGACCTAATCTCCATAGAAATACACGACCTACATAAAAAAAGGCCTCCCGTCGTTGGCGAGCTAAGTTACCACAGCAGCGGCAACGGCAACAGCAACGGCAACGGCAACGGCAGACACGTCACACCAGCACCGTTTGACTTTGAACGGCTAACCCGCTTCATGACGTATGGGTTTTTCATGGCCCCGATCCAATTCCAGTGGTTTGGGTTTCTGGCGCGGACGTTTCCGATTACGAAGATGCATGCGACTGTGCCGGCGTTGAAGAGGGTGGCGATGGATCAGTTGATTTTTGCGCCGGTTGGTCTTGTGTGCTTCTTTACCTTCATGACTGTGGCGGAAGGGGGGGGCCGACGAGCCATCGTGCGCAAGTTGCAGGATGTGTACACGCCGACGCTGAAGGCGAACTTCATGCTATGGCCTGCCGTGCAGATTCTCAATTTCCGCGTGATGCCTATCCAGTTTCAGATTGTAAGCTCCTCTTTTTGTATCCACGCTCTCTTCCCCTGCTCCATCTCTACTTGTGAATATCACACTCTCTAACCGGTTTCTCTTTTAACAGCCATTTGTATCTTCCGTTGGAATAGCCTGGACGGCATACCTGTCCCTGACCAACTCTGCTGACGAGGAATAAAAGGAAAACAAATTTACAAGACAATTTGTTGCCAAAAGCGTTGATTTTAGATGAAGCACAACCTATAGAGTCATTTGGCTTATTGCTTATTTGTCGCCACCGACTTGTGCAAATTGTTTGGGCCACAGCTGCATACCTTCTTCCTGATTTCAAATTGGTGGTGGTTTTCTTCTGTCTCCAACACGATATCGATTGTTCACGTTGACATTTCATCCGGAGTCCAGGCAGGTTTGCGGAAGCAGGGTTGTATTTTTAACTACTTCTTCCCTAGGTCTTTCTCTCTTTATGTTTTCTGTGTCAAGATAGGTTGATTTCAGATCATTATTTGCGGGGTGGTAATGATGCAGCGGATGGAATGTTGGATCCGTTTCGACTGGTTTCTATGGGAGTGATCTACTCTGTAAATAAATAGGAATAGCTAGTGATTTTAGATGTTTAGTGCATAGTTAAAAGCAACATATGATTCATACAGCGCACGAAAATAAATATCCAAATCCCAAAAACAGCTATAAAGCATTGTCTAGTCCTCACTCATTATTCTGATAACCTCCTTATAGAAACCCCTGTTAACTGGTTCCGTGCCTCCCGAATTGTTCCCAGCAGGTTGAAAAATGTGGCCAGAATTCAATTGCCTCATCCCCAACATCAGTCCACCCGAAAGAAACCACAAACCCCACCCTAAGACAGTAAACCCCTCCAATTTATTTATATAAATACAACAATAACCTATTTTCTTTAAAGATACATACTCACCTACCCATATCAATTATCTTTCCTCACTCCTGGTTCGTTGTTCTCTCCCTCTCTAGTATATCTTTAACTGAAGCATTAATTCCAATTGACTAAATAATTTACTCTTACCTAGTTGAATTTACCAGTCATACCACAGGCAGTTCTGCAGCCGCCATGTCTCTCTCCAACAAGCTATCCATTGCTGACGTCGACCTCAAAGACAAGAGGGTGTTGATCCGGGTATGTTACCACTCATTACCCCTCTCTATGAACTATACCGAACCATGAATACACCAACCCAGGCTAATCACCTACTCCCATAAATCAACATCGAGATATAGGTCGACTTCAACGTCCCCCTCGACGACAACAAGAACGTCACAAACAACCAACGCATCGTCGGCGCCGTACCCACCATTAAATACGCCATCGATCATGGCGCCAAAGCCGTCGTCCTGATGTCCCACCTGGGCCGGCCGGATGGCAAACCAAACCCCAAATTCAGCCTGAAACCCGTCGTGCCAGAGCTGGAGAAGCTGCTGGGCTGCTCTGTCGTTTTCACAGATGACTGTGTTGGGAAGCAGGTCGAGGACACTGTGAATAAGGCCAGTGGGGGCCAGGTGATTCTGCTGGAGAATTTGCGGTTCCATCCGGAAGAGGAAGGGAGTTATAAGGATGAGAATGGGAAGAAAGTGAAGGCTGATAAGGCCAAGGTGGAGGAGTTCCGGAAGCAGTTGACGACATTGGGAGATATTTATATCAGTAGGGTTCCCTTCATTTCTATCTGCATACACAGAGTGTGAGAAACATATATATACGGCGGGGAAGAATATACGTTCGCTAACAATATCGCAGACGACGCCTTCGGCACGGCCCATCGAGCCCACAGCTCCATGGTCGGCATCAACCTCCCTCAAAAGGCAGCAGGTTTCCTCGTTAAAAAGGAACTAGAATACTTTGCCAAAGCCCTCGAGAACCCCACACGGCCGTTCCTGGCCATCCTCGGTGGCTCCAAGGTATCCGATAAGATCCAGCTGATCGACAACTTACTCGATAAGGTCAACACGCTCATCATCTGCGGCGCGATGGCGTACACCTTCAAGAAGGTGCTGGACAATGTGAAGATTGGCAGCAGCCTGTTCGACGAGGCGGGCAGCAAGATCGTTCTAGATATCGTGACCAAGGCCAAGAAGAATAATGTCAACATCGTCTTTCCTGTCGATCATGTTACTGCAGATAAGTTCGCAGCGGATGCGAATTCGGAGTATAAGACGGATGAAGAAGGGATTCCGGACGGGTGGTGGGGGTTGGACTTTGGGGAGAAGAGTATCAAGTTGTTTGAGGACGCGATTGCAGAGGCCAAGACCATCCTGTGGAATGGGCCGCCTGGGGTGTTTGAGTTTGACAAATTTGCAGGCTCAACGAAGGCGATGTTGAATGCCTGTATCGAGGCTGTGAAGAAGGGGAAGATTGTCATTATTGGCGGTGGGGATACGGCGACGGTTGCGGCTAAGTATCATGCTGAGGATAAGTTGAGCCATGTATCGACTGGTGGAGGGGCATCGTTGGAGCTGTTGGAGGGGAAGGATTTGCCTGGTGTTAGCGCTTTGTCGAGTAAGTAAGACTTGTGGCCTGGGTACGGAGGGGTTGCGATGGGTTATTTGAAAATAAAGTGTATAAAAAGTAGGTATGTTACGTTGTTTTTACAATTTGATTGGTGACTGGAGAGGATGACTCTCAATTGATCTCCTTTTCTGTAGCTCAGGGGGCCAGATGTCCACAGTGAAAACTGCTGAAACTGCAGATTGAGAATTCAGTTAACCAAATATCATTTACTTAATAACACAAATGACAAAAAAAATCCATTTTATTTTCTTCTTATTAATAAGTGCATTGCAAGTGGCCTGCTCATATCACCGTCAAAACCAGTCGGAGCCGTTGAGATAGGGATGCGCAGAGAAATAGTTTTGGCTTTGAAAAGGGGAATCTTTCCTGCGCCCAATCACAACTATCACCCTCAATTTTCAAAGAGGGCAGAGCTTTTGATCGACAACAGATCTCATAGGTAGATGCAACTGAGCTGGAGGTGGATGGGGTAATTCTCAGCGATGCCACATGGGCAGTGTTTAAATAAAATCCAACAACTTCACAATCTGGAGGTGATAACCCTCTTTAAACTGGTATTCCAGCACATGCGACCACAGGGAGTGGAAAAAAGGGCTTCCCGTCCACTCAGCCGTACTTAAACCACTCGTTAAACGTTGGCAGATACTCATTTCTGCCAATTTTGCATCGCCGCCCCAAGGTTGATGGTCACTCAAACATTTGGTGAGTGCGCGCGAGGGTAGGTGAATAGGGGGTGATGGTCGCGCGAGAGCTAACCCAGTGTAGGTGAGTTGAGTGATCCGGAGACATGGCACCAATTGGATAAGTGACAGTTGCCCAGGTTGAGTTAAATAATATTTAAGAAGAGAATACTCATTCTCTGCTTGGCCCTCAAAATTTATCTCATTACTTTCCAGATATCTTTCATGAAGTTGCACTTCTATCTTGTCCTGTGAAAATATCATGTCATTAACAGAGCAGCAGAGACTTCTATGAATCAAGATGCTTGCAGAACTCACAGAGTCTTATGACTTCACTGCAGAATATCAACAGCAGAGAGACAGAGAGAGAGAGAGAGAGAGAAAGAGAGAGAGAGAGAGGTGAAAATGTCAACTGCCAAAAGAAAAAAGCTCCAGCAACTGAAAATACATATGCCTGAGCAGTTGAAGTCTGATGTCTGTTAAGTCTCAGAGATGCCAACTTTCTTAATGATGAATATAGTTATCTAATAAGAAAAAAAGATAAAGACTGTCTTAGAATGAGTCAGAGAATAGAAACTTTACAAAGAATGAATCAGATTCATCTGCTCATATCTTGAAACTTTTCTTAGAATTCTATATTATTACTTATGAAAAGATGCTCTTTCAATACTTAGTCAATCACAATTTTGTCTGCTTTATTACTAAGTGAAAGATCTAAGACCAGTTGAGTGCTCTCAGTAAATCTGAAGAAGAATATCTCTAGTGTTCATTATAAATAGTGATCATCTTTATAGTTATGTCTACTAAATATTGATGACACAGTTTATTATCATTGTTCTCACATCTAGCTACAATTTTTCTGTGAAGCACCGTGAGAAGTTTACAGCTACAAAGATTGGTTTTGACTATCTTCTAACTGCTTCTTTGAGAATGATGATGTGATAACTTCAATCTAGGCGCAAATAAACGGTTGTCCTATTGCCCACTAGGTAAGCTATTTCAACAAAATACTAAGATACTCTACCAAACAGGGGCCTGGGGAAGGATCTCCCTATATATCCCTTTCCCACGAGCGGCTGCTATGCCGTTGCTATCACCCTTTTCGGACAATGCAGTATCCGTAGCACCAGCAGCCAACGCCATCGCTCCAACCCTCTCGACACAGAATTTAGCTCCACAACCCCAGACCCCGTCCCGAAAAATTACTCATAAGTTGGCAAAATTTCTCTGATCATCTGCATAGGAACCTCATTCAAAGGAGCACAAATGACTGTGATCGGGCACAGCAATTTGAAACTAACAAGATCTTCGGTAATCCACAGCTCGAGTCAAGCCTTCTCCATCCATGATCCAATTGTATTAGCAATTAACAAAGCAGACATAAAGCAGGATTCCCTCACTGTCTCGTATGCGAATGAAGGGTATTAACCCCGAGAACAGACCATACAATGAGCACCAGCTCCGGCAGAAACGGTTGGTGCAAAGCATCCGAATGCGGCCACTTGAACAACGAACATACATACGTACGAAACTTGTAGAGCTCTGGATTGCAGAACACGGTGGAAACGCTGTCAAGTGCGCCCTAACTGCAAGGTCGTACACTAGAGGATTTGTAAGAGGTGTCGTGCACATCCTGGAGGCAAGCCGGAGTTTTGCGGGGCATCACCAGAACCCTCGACCGGACAGAGCGGCTACCAGATCTCCACTTGAAGGGATTTGGGGTCGTGGCGAGTTTCCAGGACGCTATATAATCCGGTCAAGCCACTCTCCCACTCCACCTCCTCGTTCATAGCACACAATATTGTCATCGTTTGACGCATCCGTCTCTTCATCACTGTCATCCTCAAATTGTACCCAAGCATCCCTGTATACTTTCTCGGGTGGAGTTCCTTCGCCGTTGACCGTAACCCATCGAAATATGTCAAGGGACGCCTCCCGAGATGCTTCTTGATCGAGTGATTTCTGATGGAACACTAGATCTGCTATCATATCCATATTTAGATTACTTTCCTCTGGAAAGCTGTCGCCAGCCGTACTTTCATAGCCTTGATCTTCAATGACTGTTCCGTCCTCCAAAGTCCAGTTCCAGTGCTGGTACCCAAAGTTGTGTCTCGAACAATTCAAATGAACAATAACTCGAGACACACAGTTACGGACAGTAGTGTCCCCAATCGGAGCCCATGGTGTAAACGGGCGGCTTTCATAATGTAGATCATCTTCGGTGACTGGTGGTAGGTGTAAAAGACGCCACACATCTGCTCTCCGAACTTTGTCAGTCGATCCCTCACAGATATATGATCCTGAACCTGGAACATCCATGAAAGACTGTGGACAACCGGTCCACGGGAAAGCATTCGCATCAAGGGGTGGCCTACCCCTCGCAACTTGACAAAGAATTGTTGGTGTCAGCCCACTAGCAACAGCACCGAGCCAAAGCGTGAAAACCTGCGGTCGACGAAAGCTGCACATGATGGCAAGGATTTCATGATAAAGACCTGGAGTTCTGGCAATCCCTTGGCCTTCTGGGACTTCTCGCAAAATGGGATGTAACCAAGGACTGACCATATTGCATGTAACGTCGGACTCCCAGAACATACCACACAGGATCGATATGACCACTTCAAGGCTGCAACTCAAAGTTATATAGTAAGAGAGCTGGTCACTCACTGTAGCCCAATCCGGTGTACTTGACTTGAGAGAGGTGTTCTTCTGTTGACCGGTACTCTCAGCTGGTAATGGTAACTGGACCACCGTTCCATGGTAATTATGTGTAGGAAAAGTCATGGCTGTTGTGAGTCCCACGAGAAATTGGCTGCCTAAGTTGTGCCGCGAAGAAAATCGTGCAAGGTACTCGAACGCCTTTCTGGAGGACGGAGGGTGATGAATAAGAGAATTCCCTAAACGTAATCCCTTTGGCCCACCATTTCATCCCAATACTCTATGCGTCATTGCGGAACACCTACCAGGAAGCCAAATACTCTCCATCTTCCGCTGAGAGACGATCGCCCTCCAACCTTCACTGGGGGCCAGGATGGCAGCCCACCACCTAGCTTCCTCCTCGTCTAGCTCGCCAAGGTCGACGATGAACAGCGGAGCATTGACACGTTCGGCTTCTTGCAGATACGCTGTAACCCTTGAGTTTGTACAGCTCATCTCAGCGCCCTCCCCTCTCATCTCTACCAAGTGGGCAGAGAGGATATACGACCATCCTATGGCCAGAATACCTAGATAAATCGGCGCGCCCCTTGCTTCGTCCGAACTCCCAATCCACTGACGAAAGCTTTCTCCACCAAATATGCAGGGTATTGGTGCTTGACTGCCTATCTGTAGCAACCCTTGGACCTCCCTCACTTTTTCGGCGACACCGCAGTTTGCGGCCTCAGTTATGCGCCAGGTGGAGGATACTTGGACGCAAAGTGATTTGGCTCGGAGATGATCCAAGACGAGACGAACTGATATTTCCAAGGCCGGTACGGATTGCAGGAATCCGGTTCAGCATATTCCGAGGGTTGGTAGAGGCCGGTGGGAGCCCTTCACGACATCGCGAAATCGCCATTGCTGCAAGACAATACCAATATTCACGGCATTTTTCAGTTGCCGCCTCCAGTTGCTGGGGATCCAGCTCAAGTTGATCATAGCCAATAGAGATCTATTGTGCAGATACCCATTAGCATGGGACAAGAAGATGTATGCAGTGAAGGTCTGAACTACCGTAGATAGTTGTGGTGGCTAAGACAGCGCGGGAACGTTTATCATCCTTCACCAAATCTGGATGAGATGTAGCGTTCAGTGTGGGCTGGATAGAATTATCCGTAATGGAGAGATTTGTTGGCCGTGGCGTTTCTTCTGGCCCCGTATTGCGTATTATCTGACAAACGCGCATCGAATCATAGAGAAACGGGTCGAGCAAGGGGTGCATGTTGGAACATCGGCTTGGTTAAAGTCGCCCTGGTCACGTGTATTTACCTCGAGAACTCCACTTTGCTTCGAAAGGAGCTGGAAAATCTCGAGTACTTTGCAGCCGTTCCCAACATTGTGCAGGCGGCGGGAGTTGCCGTATCTACAAATCCTTATGTGACTTCGAGTGGTAGTGACGGACCCCCCTTGTTGTGACTTGGCATTCTACTCAAGGCATATCCCAGAGGATCATTGCGGCAGGTCATTTCGGAGAACCGTGTTGCAGAATATTCCTGGAAGAAATGGCCCGTTCAGATCGGAACCACTCTGAATCACTTTCATGAAACCAAAAAAACTCATATGGACATAAAACCTTCAAAATATCGTCATTGACAGCGAGGGAAATGCAGTTGTCATTGATATCAGCGGCAGCGGCGGGATCACTCGCCAATGCGCGTTCACCAGAAATCCAAGATGAGACGTCTCCCTTTGATCTTCCCTTTGAACAACGACGATTTAACGACATTTGGGCGTATGGAAAACCCCTATCCGAGATTGGGTCGCACGCAAAAGACGACCCATCTGCAAATGCTTTAAAGCGGGGTTGCAGATTGCTTAACGAAAGAGAATTGCCAAGCACGCATGGGTTTACCAAGGGTGATTTCTCGACTCGAAGGTGCAGACAATCGGGATAAGGTGTACGATATTGTAGCAGAACGCCATGTAGCACTTTAATAATCATCCCAATCAACGTCGTCTTCATCAAATCCACCATCAGTTCTGGCACCTATGCATCTCTCGACAAATAACTAAATAAACCGTCTAACCAACAAATATCCTCTGTTCATTACTTCTCCGTAGACAGTTCAAATACCTTTTTGTTCACACTCTCTCATTTAGCAATACGGAATAAAAAGTCAAAAACAGACCTCATAGCTGCCATTTGCATACAGGATAATCTCATCCACACTCTCCCCTCCCCTATTTGCCCCTGATTTTCCCCTATTCCCTATTTATCCCTCTCCATCTCCTCTCCTCCACCATCTCCCTCCCATCCCACTCCCCAACATCCAACGCAACCGAAAACCAACTATTTAATACAATTATACGCTGCAATCCTCGCCGTCAGCTCAACAATCTCCCACTCACTCAACCCTTCCCACACCCGCTTCCCAAACCCTGATATCCCTCATCATGAGTCCGTATAGGCCAACACATCACACTCCTCCCTTGATAATATCCCTTCTCCTTTCCCTCCCCGCTCCAAAATCCCCACCTCCAACAAGCCCATGTGCGTTCCACTCATACACCTCCCCATTCAACACCGCAATGCGACAAAATAGCCAGTTCCAGCAGTGCCTGTGAAACCACCGTTTGCGAGCGGATGGTTCCTAAAGAAACTGTTCCAGCTGTCCGCGACCGGGGGGAGTTGGAGGGGGGGGGGGGGGGGATGGATGGAGAGGTTTGGTTTTGGTTTGCAGTTGCGTTTTTTAAGGAGAGTTCAAGTGATATGGGTGGTTGAAGAATGTAGCGCTATATCATGTATGTAATATCACGGAAGAGGATTCGGGATTGATATGTCTTTGTAGTAAATCTCCTATGTATGGTGCATTTGTTTACGGCTAAAGGTGCTTCATTTTTATTAGTTAGCGGCTTTCTGATGACACCCTAATGGAGTTTCACGATCAAGTCAGATATGTGAGGAACAAGACGAACAACCCCTAATGGTCAAATTTTCAGAATGGCGTTGACGTGATATATTAAACAGAATAGGGGACATAATTTCGATAACCCATGCAGTACCGCTGGTCGGAGAAAATCACAAGAACATGAAGGGAAAATGTAGCTGAGGGACAAGGAGGTATTTACATATCATACAAAAAATGGGTTAGAACTTAAAAGAGCCACTGGCACAAGAAAATACAGAAAACCACTCAGAAGAAATCCCATCCCACGAACAGAATAAAATAATAATATAATAATAATCTCAGCTGTTGAAAGAAAAATATTATGAGCTAGGAAATGCCATGTATGTTAGAATAAATCACTGTTTCAAAAGAGACGAGAAAAACAAAGGGGGGAAGGGGGAACAAGAATACATAGGCAAGGGATCGGGAGGGGAGGGAGGTAGTATTACAGATGAGAAATTGTCTTCATAGTATTCGGTGCAAGCCTGATATTGTACTCCAGCTCCAGTTCAGCCTTCGGATCACCCTTGAGCGGCTTGAAGTCTACAACCAGGTCATTCTTCACCGCAAACACCGTATCGCTGCTGAGATACTGATCATCCCGCGGGAAAATCTGCGTCGTAACGGTCTTATACTCCGGATGGCTAATCATAAGATGTATATGCGCTGGGCGGAATGGGTGTCTATCCAGCAGATCCAGCAGGACACCTGCTGGTCCATCGGTAGGCAAGGAGTAGGCGGTTGGATGAAGGATGTAGAGGTGGTAGAAGCCGTTGTTGTCTGTGCGGAACTTGCCGCGGAGGTTATTTGGCTCCTGGTTCTCTGGATCCTGGAAGTCGTATTTGCCGTTCGAGGAGGCTTGCCAGATGTCGAAGATTGCGTTGGGGATTCCACGCTTTGTGACAAGGTCAGTGATGCGGCCGCGCATCAGGGACACTTGCCCTGTGTGCGGGCTGCGGACGATGGTGTCGCCTATTTCGCGGAAAGGGGCGTGCGGGCTCCAGAAGGGGCCGAGGATGGAAGAGGAGGTTGGGGATTCGGAGCCGGATTCTAGGACGAGTTTGTGCGCGATTTCGTCGACAAGGCTGTATGGTTGTTAGATTGCTTCTGGGGATTTATGATACTACTGTAATCAAAATGTTTTCCACAAGCTCACGTTTCCAGCCCGATGACGTCACAAATGCGATGTCCTTCATTTCTTGTCGGAGTGCTGACTTGGCCAATGGTGTTGATGAAGTTCACGCCCATCAGCCATTCGTCGTTGGTGAGCTCGACTTCACGGGCGAAGTCGTGAATGTGGCGGATGAGAGAGCCCAGGACTTGTCTGGTTCTGGGGGCTGTTCTGGGACCCATGAGGTCGATCACGGCCTGTGTGAAATCCGGGTCATACATGTGCATACTGGCCCCGTTTGTCTTGACATCGCTTGTGCCAGCGCTGTTAGAAGCGGTGGCCATATTGTCAAATTCTGATAGGTACTGAAGGGGATGCAGGGGTAGGATTATTACTGTGGAGAAACGAGATATCTGTTGGAAAGACGAAGATTTTAAATCGAGAAAGCAGAAGAGAAAGAGGTTAGTTAGAGAAATGGAAGAGAGAGAGAGAGAGAGAGAAATAATAATAGCAGGGCTAGCAGCTATTAATATATTTATTCTGAGATGGGCTTGATCTTTTTTTGCCTCTCTCTCTCTTCAATGTTGCGTAGAGATAGCGACCACTACCAAATCCTGGCCTCTTCACCCGGCAGATCCATCGGGTGTTTGCAGAGGGGAGACCGATCCAACCAGTTTGCGGTGGATCCCTTTGTCAGGGGATCTATCAAGGGTAAAAGAAAAGCAAGAAACGGCCATGAGCCATCACAAAACTGGGTAGCAACTCTGTTAGTTAGCTCACTGTTTCCTCGAACAGCGGGGACAGCCACAATCCTATCTCCTGACATCCTCATCGCCTTTCATCTATCGTATTCCTCCGCCGTTGTCTGGTTTGAAGGTTGAATGAGGTTGAGTTCGGCATCGCAGCAGGTTCACCCCTCGGCAGCAGCCAGCGCTGAGTCAGCACAACTACCGAGCGCGATTGCCGAGCCCTCTTCCCGACTCAACCAGGACGAGGGAGGATGGACAACAGTTCTGCGATTCTAGGATGGACACGCTTGGGAGCATCTTCGGCAAAGGCTGCGGGTTGTGCGTTTGGCTCCATCCGGACCGTTTGGCCTTGGAAAAAAAGTCGGGGTGGTTTAACGATTACTAGTTAGATAACGGATGGGGGAGTCGTTGATCTCGCCTTTGTCAAGCCCCCTCGTTTTGGGTGTAGTTTCGGCTGCATTCAACCAAGAAAGTCAAAGTCGAGGAATGATGAGGAATCTCCCTGTAGGGCTTCTTAGACTTGAGCGTTAATAGCTTAGGTTGATGTTGTTGTTTCGTTGTTTTAATTGGATTGAATTTATTCCTGCGTATCTTCAACATGAAGCACCACTTGATGATTGGCACCTGGACACCACCAGGAAATATCTACACCGTTGAATTCGACGATGAAGCTCTGACGCTCAAATTGGTCAAGAAGACCAGCATCCCGGAAGATGAACCCATTTCGTGGATGACCTTTGATGTGAGAGATTTCCAGCTACTTAGCTACGTATATATATATGTGTATATACTTCCATATGTACATGGCCTGATTTGTCGCTGACCCCTTGTCGTCGTCGCACTGCTTCATCGACAGCATGCGAAAAAGAACATATACGGCGCCTCCATAAAGAAATGGTCTTCGCACTCCGTTAGAAGCCCCGCAGATATCAGTCACACTGTTTCGTATCCTTTGGCTGGTCACCGTAGGTCCCCTCCTTGAAGCACTCTTGGGGAATAGGATATATACCGGAGAAAAAGGATACACACTCATATCTTTTCTCTCCTCTTATAATAGCCCTAGCATCCAATGCCGATACAAATACCAGAGCCATCTTCATCCTCGCAGCAAAGAAACCCCCCTACAACGTCTACGGAAACCCTTTCTACAACTATGCAGGCTACGGCAACGTATTCAACGTGACTGCAGATGGGACACTCGGCAAAAATATACAAAACTACGAATATTACCCGCATTCCGGCGTGCATGGCATGGTGTTTGACCCTACAGAGACATATTTGTATTCCGCAGATATGGGCGCAAACAAGATCTGGACACATAAAAAGGACCAGGAGACCGGCATGCTAATTCTGGTGGATAGCATCGAGGCACCTGGCCCTGGTGACCACCCACGCTGGGTGGAAATGCACCCCAGCGGCAAATATCTATATGCACTGATGGAAGCTGGGAACCAATTGGCGGAATACGTAATTGACCAGAAGACGCATACTCCGGTCTTTACGCATAAGATATACCCACTGATCCCACCAGGTACATTCTATCCCCACCGAAACAAAAAAGAAAAAAGTAAAAGAAAAAAGTAAAAGAGAAAAAAAATAAAAATAAAAAATAAAAAATAAAAAAAGGAAAAAGGAAAAGGAAAGGAGGAAGGAAATGCAAACAAAGTTTACTTACCTCTACCTAAAATACAGGCGTCAACCCGTCTAGAAATTACCGCTCCGATGTCGTTTTCAAGAACCATAGCGGCTCGCACCTCTTCGCAACAGCGCGGTCCAACCACTTCGACGTAACCGGATACATCAGTGCGTTTCGGCTAGGCTCCGCGGGAAACATTGAAAAGCAGCTATTCATCAATCCAACGCCGACGAGTGGTGGACATTCGAATGCAGTCAGCCCTTGCGATTTCAGTGACGAGTGGCTGGCTCTGACGGATGATCAGGAAGGGTGGGTGGAGATTTATCGGTGGAAAGGAGAGCTTTTGGCGCGAGTGGCACATTTGGATATTCCAGAGCCAGGATTTGGGATGAATGCAATTTGGTATGATTAGAAGGGCGCAGGGATAGAATTCCGAATTGTCCTTTCCCTCGAATTTCGTTGCATGGGTGAATTAAAGTTATGAAAACATCTCGTAACACGTCGTTGAACTACCCTCACGGCAATGACGTCATGGTGTAGTTGGATATTATTTATGTTTGTTGGTGGTTTACAGGCTTACATCAACAACGCAGTCTAAGGACGCAATTCCACATAATAAATATATCACTGCCTTTACGTAACCAGAAATTGTTGTGTCTCTTACCCCTACCAGCCGTGCCCTCAGTAAAATGACAATATCGAGAGTTTCTTTGGCTGTTTCGTGGTGGAGTCCCACCTGATCAGCTCGGCTCCCGCACTCGGCAACAACTTCTCGGGCCAAAATCAGAGACTTGTGTGATAGTTCATTTACTTGCAGCCTTAGAACCAATCTATAAAATGATTGAGCATATGGATAATTCTGCTATATCTGCAGAATCGTGATAATAATCTCGATTTTTAATTTCTTGGAGGAATTAACACTTACGTTCCACTTCACTTGTAACTAGCGAGCTAGTGATACAAGAGCCTGGGGTTAAATATCGAGAAACCTTGGAAGAATTGAAAATATTATACAGCCATTCTTGGTCCGTAACTGCACGAGCGCCCCAGCCCAGCTCTAATCATCTCGAATAAAACCAAATATCCAGGCACAATGGTACCCGGCCTGCTTTACGTAAAAATGCAGCCGGGAGACAACCTCTCCCCGGCCCAATTCCACGACTGGTATAACAATGAGCACGGTCCTACCCGCCTCCGCCTCCCGTTTATCGAGAATGGCTTCCGCTTCCGTGCGACGGATGTCACAAGTGGCTCCTCTGGCTCAACCCCAGCGCTCCCTGAATGGCTCGCAATATACGACGTCGCAGATATTGCCGAGTTGAAGCAGGAGCAGTACCTACGCCTGCGCCGCGATGATGTCAAGAGCCAGCGTGAGAAGGAGACTATGGCCAAGATTACGATCGATAGGCGGCTATACGATTTTGTGGAGAGCAAGCAGGTAGGAGGGTATGTACCGCTGGATGCATTGGAAGCGACACAGGCTGAACTGGACGGGAGGGGCAAGAGAGTGCTCGTGGCAATTATCCAGACCTTACACCCGGATAAGGAAGATGAGTTCAACAAATGGTATCGCGAAGAGCACATGCCACTCCTCTCCAAGGTGCCTGGGTGGCTTCGTACAAGACGCTTCTTGAGCTCTGTCGGCGAACCCACCGAGACGAAAGAGTACCTCTCTGTGCACGAGTATGCATCCCACGACGGCCCTGGTGGTCCGGAGTTAAAGGCCATAAACATCACCCACTGGCGCGAACAGATTATGACAAATGTAGTCAAGGGCCGCTCAAGACGCGTTTACGAACATTACTACACCTTCGGCGCTGCACCGCGGGATCTAGGCTCTCTCTCTTCAGAGGTTGTCACCCCCTTCACATCCCCAGACGGGCTTACAAGAACACTGCCCGGCTCCCCGCCACCCGCTTCTAGCCCTCCACCATTCCCCGCCATAGAATCCTATGTCACAACGTCGGACGGCGTAATCCTACCCTATCGCCTTGAAGGCTCCAGCGACTCGGACGCCCCGCTCATTCTCCTCAGCAACAGCATCCTAACTCACTACGCAATCTGGGACGACTTCGTTACATGCTTCCTCTCCAAACCCGAAAACCGCCAGTACCGGATTCTCCGTTACCTGACCCGCGGCCGCTTGAGCAATAGCGGCGAGAAGCCTGTATCCCTCGATGTCCTCGCGGGAGATATAATCACTATCCTCGACACGCTGCGTGTTCCGAAAGCCGCAGCGCTAATAGGCGTGAGTCTCGGGGGCGCCACGGTGTTGAACACGGCGCTCAAATACCCCGAGCGCACGGGGACTTTTATTGCCTGTGACACAAACGCAAAGAGTCCAGAGGGTAATAGGAAAGTGTGGGGTGAGCGAATTGCTGTGGCGGAAGGCGAAGGGGCTGTGGCGGTGGAGACTGGTGAGCGGGTTGTTGGTGATCAGCTGGCAGAGATTACGGTTCGTAGGTGGTTTGTGAAGCAGAATTATGATGGTGGGGAGATGGAGGGGAGGGCGAGAAGGGTTAAGGAGATAGTGAGGGGGAATAGTTTGGAGGGGTTTAAGAACGGGGTTGAGGTGCTGTCTATGTATGATTTGGTAGGCGAGATGGGGAGGAGTGAGAAGAGGGGCGCCTTTTTAGTCGGAGATGGAGACGGCGTGTTGCCTAAGACTATGAGGGAGATGGCTGGGATGATGGGGGCAGGGGCGGAGTTTTTGGTGGTGGAGGGGGCGGGGCATTTACCCATGGTGGAGAAGCCGGAGAGGTTTGAAAGGCTGGTTAGTGGGTTTTTGACGGGGAATAGATTAGTTCCTAAGTAGATGATGGTGATGTGTATACAGAGAACCAGACTCCTTTTGGATGGTCGGTTTGGACGGTCGTTGTGCGGAGAGCAGTATTGGACACCAAGTGATACGATAGAATTTGCCTCAATTCAATCGCTTGTTGAGAGTTGAAGATGGCCTAAGGTTAAATTTCCAATAGATATAATTGAATAGAGCACCTGGACAGGTTAAGAAAGAATCTGCCCTCTGCTCCTGGACAGGTGCTCACATAAGGGGGGACAGGCCTGCAATGGAGAGTATGATGGATCTCCTTTTTTGAGAGGCTGTTCTATGTAGCTTTTGATTTCTTCATTGCCTCTCTTTCCAGTCCCCTGAGTCAATGTATCATGACACAATGCCAGGGAAACTTCTGTCTACTGTATGTCACAGAAGTCGTCTTCACAAATGTCACCAATAAAAGTGAGAACGGTGCATTCTGACATTCACATCTGCAAGTCTGTTGGGTATATGTGTATGCAAGGAAATGTTTTCTCTTTTTGAATAAATCTTGCAAATTTGAAAAGACAAAGACAACAATGAAAGGATTTCTAACATGTTTCAGCAGTAGTAAGAGTTTAAAATAAACCACAGAGAAAGTTGAAAAGCTCAGGTTTTAAGAACCGCAAGAAAACAAAGAAGAAGAAAAAAATGATAACCCCAGTGCTGGTTGTTTGATTTTTTCACATCAAATCACAACCAAATGTTCCCATCATAGTCAGTCAACAAACATAAAAAAGGGGGGTGGGAATCGACAAGGGCCAAGCGAGGCAGCAATGCTAAATAGCTGCTACTATGACCTTTTCGCCGCTTCGACCTTTTTGAGCTCCTCCCTACAACAACCAAAAAACAAAAAAAAAAAAAAAAAAAAAAAGAAGTCAGCTTTGTAAGAATGTATGCGATAATCAGGGAAGGAAAGCAAGTCCGTACTTCAGCTGTTTTGAGAAATCATCGCTCTGATCATCGTCGTCCCAGCTCTCTTCCCAAAGGTGGTCTGAGGGCGAGACGCTAGAGCCTTCAGCTTCTTCATCTTCTTCTTCAGCAGGCCAATCTAAGTAAAAATAAGAATTGGGAGAAGTGGTGTTAGTATCTGCACTAAAATCTGGGTAAAGACACATGGCTGGTATTAGAAGGATGTATAATCTCGCTTGCCGCAGCAGCGGGTTGCAGGAGGGAATGCGGAGGGGAATGAAGGGATATCTATACCTTCAGCTGGGAAATCCTCAAACTCGTCATCTTCTTCTAGAGAAGTAGGCTTCTGCTGTTGGTTTTGGGCCGTGGCATCGGTTTGCTTTTCGGTTGTGGACTGTGCAGTCGTGGATTGGGCGGACATGGCTGGGAAATTGGGCGGATTTGGGATACAGCTTTTTCTTGAAGGCAGTTATTTCTTCTTAGGTCACAGGCGAGGGATTATCATAGGCTGCAAGTGTACGAGAGTCAATTCAGGTAGGTCCCAAGGTATCAGCAGGTTGGGAATATAACGGCGATATGGAACATAGCCAGGTATCCAGGTCTGCTCGGAGTCATCCATCGATGGATGATGATGATGATGGTGATGATGATGATGATGTTACTGCGCGGGGTCGAGACAATTTGATATCACGTGTCTCTAGCGGAAGCAAACATGCCAAGCGTCAAAAGCCAAAATTTTGCTGCCAAGATTTAGGGTTTAGGGCTGGTATATATTACAGCCAGCTGATACCACCGTACCCGTACCTATCTTCCGCCAGCTCTGGCGACAGAGCGGCGTCTTGAAATGTGAAAAAATCAGGGTTGATTCTGGTCTTTTCTCGGATTCGCGGAATATTATCCCATTGAAGTTTGTAAGTCAGCATGCAGATCTCCGGAACAGATATTTTAACAAGGGTCACTCCGGAGTAATTGAGGCAAAATCTGCACAAAATTAGGGTGGTAAATTGTGCGCTTGGCGGGTAACTATCTGTATGATGGTATCGACTCCGTATCTGACGCAAGTAAGCTGCGGCGTTCCGCGCAAGCTTCCCTACTTGATACCTACGCCTGAATTTGGATATCTTCACCGATTTCTCTAAAATCTGGTTCATCTTCTCATCTCTTTTAACTCGTTTTGTTCTGTTTCTTTTCTTCGTCATCTTCTATTCCTTATGCGGGCGATGCTGATTCCTGATGCACCAGCAATCTCGTCACCTTGCGCCTGCTATGCTGGAGCTGCCGTGAGCACCGCCCTTAAGATCTCTGTTGCCTGTTTAGCGCACCCTCCGCTTGGCCGCTGAGCTGAGGACTTTTTAAACCCATGAGATCTCAAATTCAAACTTGAATTTGCTCTGTTCTTTTTCTTCTATTGATCGACCTGTTTCCAAGATCTTCCAGCTTCGATTATCATCCTGTACATTGCAATTACGATGTTTAGAGTGGGAACATGGCTGTACAGCAAAGCGGCCCCCGTGAGCGTATCAACGCAATCGCTCGATGCATTGGCTGAAGCGCGAGAGCGTGAGTTGCTGTAGCCCCTTGTACAGCTCCTCAGTATTGCGGATTAGACGCTGATACCATTTGTTTTACGTCAATTGCATACAGTCGAGAGTGCTCTGGAAGGTATTACCAACCGCCCTCAACCCAGCCAAATCCAGCCCTTGAGATCGATGTGGGCTGACTTGGTGCTAATGCAGCAGCTACTTTTATCATGAATGATGATGTAGACCGCGCTGAAGAGGGCCTGAATAAGGGCGATTCCTCTTTTCATAAGGTGTGTATGCTAGTGTGGTAGTCCATGCGGTGTTGAGGATCAAAAAGGGACTCTCTTCTTTCTCTTAAAGCAGATAGTAATGGAATGAGTCGCACCCTGTGACATTGCATAGCTTGGAAAAGGAATTGTTGCATTCGTGCGGGCGACGTTGGGTTTTGAGCAGGAAATCATGCGTCTTGGTATGGCTACCTGTACCCCTTTTTCTGCTTATATCATCACATATTGACAATACATCCTCTGCAGCGGGCGAACTGCTAGCTGAGGCTGAAACGAGTGCATCAAATGATCAACATAAAGCTCAGCATAATTTGAATGCCACCAATACGTTCCGATCGACGATCTATTCCCCTGGAACCGAATATGTCCTTTGTCGCAGCATGGCTCAGCTCATGGCTGCTCTTGTTGGAGTCCTGAATGAAAGTCTAACGGAGAGCATCAGGGCTTTCTACAAGCTAAGGAAAGCATATATCGCACTAGATAGTATAATGCAGATGGAGGAGAAATATCTCCAGGCGGAATCTACAAGGAAAATGATGTCCTCAAATAGTTTGTTGTCAGCTAGCCACCCGCAGCCAACTGAGCCATTACGGAGCGATAAACTCAAATCCACCGAAGTGAAACCTGATGTAACTTCTGAATTCCTCACGAAGACCTCTCTATCACCCGATGATACAAATAAGTCAATTTCGTCTCAGGGGGACAAGAAAGAAATCAATGACGATATTGCGCTGACCTCCCATGCAGAAGCAGGACGTGTATCGACAGATTTTCCAGAGAAACTTTCATCTCCCGGACAGTATCTAAATCACGACCCCGATTCTGATATATTTACACACACCGTGGATTCGTTTGTGCATTCTGGGACAAACCTCTGCTTCGGCCTCCTGCTGCTTCTCATTTCGATGGTTCCACCAGCCTTTTCAAAATTGCTATATATTGTCGGTTTCCGTGGCGACAGAACTCGAGGTCTCCGGATGTTGTGGCAAGCTAGTAAATTTCACAACCTGAATGGCGCGATTGCAGGTTTGGCCTTGTTGGCTTACTACAATGGCTTCATTAGATATTGCGATATCATAGATGACTCTCAAACCGAAAGTGAAGAGTTTATCGAGGGCTACTCGGAGAAACGACTCACAACCCTATTGGCGGAAATGAGAATTCGATTTCCCCATAGCCGTCTTTGGCTTTTAGAGGAATCTCGGATGCACGGTGCGAATAGAAATTTAAACAGGGCCCTTGCGCTCTTATCTAGCGACACGAAGAGCCCGCTGAAGCAGGTTGAAGCATTATGTATGTTCGAAAAGAGCTTGACGGCTATGTATGTTCATCAATATGAATTATGCGCTGAATCGTTTATCGAGGTACGAATTCGAAGTCCTACAGTAATCGCACTTACACTACGCTATTCTAACCCTCCTGGTGACATGATATTTAGTGTGCTGAACTCAACTCATGGTCGCGAGCTCTGTATTATTATATTGCCGCATCCACCTATCTTGCTCTCTACCGGCAGAATGCACAGAAGTCCCCTTTGGTCGCCAAGGCATACGCCTCTAAAGCGGTTGATTTATATAAAAAGGTACCCTCCCAAGCAGGTAAAAAGAAGTTTCTAGCCCGCCAACTTCCATTTGACGTTTTTGTGGCCCGGAAGATTTCAAAATGGGAAGCACGTGCGAAGGAATGGCATGTTGATTTCATTGACGCAGTCGGCGTAGACCCAGTTGAAGAAATGATATATTTTTGGAACGGTCACAGTCGCATGAACAAAGAGCAACTCGAAGACTCGCTGAGGCATTTAGAATGGTCAGAGAGCCCTCACAATAAGCATTGGCATCGCGAGAGTATAGACGAGTTTGCCATCTTAGCTGTGCTCCGCGCTTCCATTTTCCGGTCGCTGGGCAGACACGACGAATCGAAGCAACTGTTACAATCCCAGATCCTCGTTCATGACAAGGCAGTATTCAAAGGCCATCTTAAAGATGACTGGACGTGCCCAACTGCCCACTATGAAATGGCCGCAAATCTATGGATGGAGCGATTCTCATATCGGCCACTGAGCTCAACAACTGACGTCCCTGATGCCTCCTCACTCACAAACCTTTCATCAAAGCCATCACCGCCAAATTTGCCTCACACTAAACCCACAGGCAGAGCCTTAGGTGAAAATACGCAATCCTACGACCGATGCAAGGTCCGAGAGTGCAAAGAATGGATTGACAAGGTTGCGAAATGGGAAACATACGAACTCGACGCCAGAGTGGGGCTCAAAGTTACCATGGCTGAAGAAACGTTACGGAAATGGGAATCAGCCAATCCAAGCTAATGTAGATTTCAATTCTTTCTACCCTTTCAAGGCGTTTCTCCTCGTTCTTCTGGTGTGGTTCCTTTTTTTTTTCTCTCTTCCATTTGCAGTCAAATACAGCTTGCTGCGGTCTCTAGGCATTGTGTATATAACGCTTTAGATTTCAATGCGGGTTTTCTTCCTGCTATATATATACTTCTTTTTCGGCTTATAGGCAAGAAATCTCGTCCATAGTTCAGAGGTATTCGGACCATACTCCATATTTTCTGATCCTGAAACCATCAGAACTTCCAAGCTCGTCTGACAACCTAGGAGTTACCTGGTAGGTTTTCATGGTTATCTGACATCGATATACAGACATCCATAGATAGCTTGTTTAAGGTTCCCAGGCAGGATATGACGTTTGAATTCTCCTGAAATCTACCTGGGGTATCCTCAGTTAGCGCGGGATTATGTATGAGTAGTTAACTTGGGGCACCGTGGCTGTCAAAAGCGAAATAACCGCGTCCCCTGGTATAACCGCGTCCCCTGGTGTATCCGTGATCAACTTTCTCTGGGAGGTAAGAAAGGTTTTGATATGCCAGATTTCCATCCCGGCGTGCGTTTCGTGGACCATTTGGATTTGATTATGATTCTGGCACTCATTTCTCCTGTATTATATGTATCGTGCTTCATTTCACAAACCAATGGCCATATTTCGCGTCCTACCGCTAGAACCCATTCTCTCCCGAGACTGCCCCAAACGCTCCTCCACCTTTTCAAGACAAAATGTTCATATCACGAACAAGCAGCTCAGGATGCTTGCGGGCATAGAATTGCCTATAATTTCTCGTTAATGGGTAGTTAGCATATCTCTCTATTCACATGCCTCTGTCAACCTGGACACCATGAGTGGAGTGCCCAGGTTCCACAACGCCCTGGCGAGCTCATCGGGGAAATCTGCAAGGGCGAACTTTGCTTAAGTCTGTCGACTTTGCTTTGGTGAATGTTGATAATGTAGAGCCTTGGAATAGTAGCCATTTTGGAATGATTGCTTGGAATATGGGATAAATAAGATGCTTCTTGGTTTCCCACCGTAGAAGCTGAGACGCAACGAAGAAAAACTCCACCGTCGAGATAGGGTTGAATCAGGATATTTCAACTCGTTAACTCAAGCTCCCCGGACTTGGATTTAAAATATTATATCTGCTACACAAATGGATCCATATACGTCCTCCCAGCTGCCTCCCTGTCATTTATAAAATACATATTCTCGGGATGGTGAGATTTTGAAGCTTAGTAATTCATCTTCCATTGACGATGTACGTCCGAAAACCAACATACTACTTGTGAGCGATCACTTCTGTAAATGCCTCTCGTCGAGTTGTGGCATAGTTAGGGCACTTGGGGCAGCGTTTACGATGCTTTGATCTTAGTCTTTGGTTGATCAATTGCATGGATGCAACCTGTTAGTGAAGATTTACGTCACTCCAACTTGAAACATTTCGTCATCCCTCAACTGCTCGAATCCCATTAAGACCAATAATCCCCTTCGAATTGAGAGCAGGAGTTTCTTGATCGGAGTAACCACCTTTTTAACCACCAACTGTAAAAGAAATACCGGTTTTCCATTCCATCTCGCGGATAGAGAATAAAAAAGCAGAGGGGATAACAAAGCATAAGGTAAGCACAATATGAAAAGGGTAATATACCGCCCACCATTGAAAGCAAACTATCAAACAAACAAAAAAAACCTAAACAGGCCCAAAGGGCGCAGAAGTAATACACCAGTTAGAGAGTATCCATCACTTCTGTATTATTCACGTTATCATCATTCATATCGATATCCATATTCTCTTCCGGGCCTGCAACAAATCCAAACTCCCAATCCCCATTCTCAATCCTGCTGACTCGATCCAACTCTGCTTGGTACTCTCTCCGCAGATCCTCCAACGTAACTATGACACGCTTGGGAAACTTAGCTTGCGGCAGCTGTTGCCGTTGCCCTGTAGAATGCTGAGATCCGGTGCTAAACTTTCTTTCGCCGGTGCCAAGACTTGAGCGAGGCGAATAACTATGCCCCTTGACAGAAGTCGGGAGCGAAATAGAAGCCCGGTGCGATATGGTTGAGGTGGTAGAGGAGGTAGAGTCCAAAATCACCGAACTGTCCTCCACAGGACCAGCATTGCCAACGACACTACTGCTGCGTGGGCGAAAGCTGTTGCTTGGATCCTCAGTCTCAACGAGAATGTACGCCTCGCTCTTGTCCATGCAGGCGAGAAGGTTTATCAGAGATAGTAGCTCATTGCGCAAATTTTTACTCTCCACGTCATCGTCATCCACCTCCTGGAACTTCGGTGGTGCAACTTCTTCACATGCGTTTCGTCGGATCTTCAAAATGCGAGTGGAGTAGAAGCTGCGATCCCTTGCCTCACGCAGCCGCTGGACTGCTTGGTAATTTACCTCTGCAGCTCCGCGAATATCATTACGTGCGATGCGATAGGCTTGGAGAACACGCTGGTAATCTGGGATATCGCCCTTGCCTTGCCAAGGAGTTGCAGAGGGTAATGATTGGCCCAGTGATCGACCGTGGGCTGCTTGTTTCTTTGCTAGCGATAGGAGGACTTCGTCAATGTGAGATGCGAGGTTTGGTTGCAGTGAAATAGGGAAACGGAGGATTTTCTGGAGCCCCGCTGTGCCTGGTCCCGATGCCGCAAGGATAGTGGTGATTAAAGAGGTGAGGGCCGACTTTTGTAACGCAGAATCTGTATATCGGGAAAGGGCAGAGTAGGCTTCATCAAACCGACAGGTTTTCAAGGAAGCGTGGAAAAGACGTGAAAGCAGGTCAGTCCGCATATAAATATAATCAGATTCCGGATCATTCCTTTTCGGGTCAGATTCAAGAGCTTGAAGAGCATGACGTGCAAAATCGGCAACGTGAGCAAATGCCCTGGCCTTCTCAAAAAGAGAGAGTATGTGCTGGAAGTATCTTGGAAGCCCGTTATTGAAGCTGTTAACTGATATTATATCAAGAAGGTTCGACGACATCTCATGCAGGTTGCCAACTGCTTTTCCTTGTGCTGGATGGAAAAAGATATTCGCGTCAGTCTGTATTTTTGCCTGGAAGCAAGCCATCGTTATATAGAATGTACTTACAGAGAATATATGCTGCTTTCTGGAAATAAATAGCGGCAACATCAAACATAGACTTGGCTACATAAAACCGTCCTTTAACATATGTAGACCACGCAGTATTTGGTTGAAAGCGCAAGAAATCAGATGCCAAGTCGATATTATCCGATGCCAGAAGGGCACATTGGATGAATACCAAAACATTCGGGAATGACACTTCGCCTTGCCTCGTGATCCAGGACACAACATCGCGAACTTGTTGGGTAAGAGTAAATGTCTGAGGCACACCGAATGTCGGTCGAGGTTTAATATGGAAAGCGAAGAGGTCCTCAAGAAGAGTCGACAATCTGTGCTCTTGTTTATTTGGCCCTTTCTCCTTGGATAATACCGGCGACATCGCATTGCTCGTGCTTCCATGAGATGAATTTCCAGGCAACGGGCGAACGTTTGATCCTAGCCATACCATCATCTCATACTCCTTTAGTAGCTCAATCAGGCTTGCAAACAAATCCATCCCATCGAAGAGCACGCCATCTTCTTGCGTCAATTCGGTCTCAACAAAAACAGTAAGTAGTAAAAGGTCATACAGCACTTCTCTGTTGAGCCGAATGGTCTCCAGAACACCCTGAACAGTTACGGCACGCCCAAAATCTGTAGACAAAAGTTCGGAGTCCTTTCCTGGAAACTCCAGTGGCATCGTATCGATGATGGAAAGGAAAAGCTCACTTGTGAGCGTCTCCAGCCCTATGGATGTTTCGATGCCAGCAAACATTTTATCAAACATATCATCAGTGATCAACTCCGCGAATTTACTCCGTGAATGAAATGCAGCAACTCTCTCTGGTGCTGAGAGAGAAGGTTCCGTGTAAAGCTCAGCATTCAACGCCATAGCACATGCATGGTTAAGTTCCGGTGTAAACTTCTTTCTAAACGATGAGGCAGCTTCAATAAGCCTAGCTAGCAGATCCGGCCGATCTCTCAACTCCTGATCCAAATTTCTATGATGAAAAGAGTCTTCCAGTGTTCTTCTGTGCTGTTTCAATGCATGGCCATCATTATGGACGAGCAGCTCAGTGCTGCTACATTCGCGAATAAGACAGCATCCATCCGAGAAAAGCAGCCATGGAAGATCAGTAAACGCATCATAGCTAAGGGAGATCGCCTCTCTTCGCCTTCTATTAAGATCATCCGCTATCTGCCAGAACTGTCGCCATTTGGTATCCGTTTCCCGTCTGTATTTCGAATAGTCTACCCCAGCTTCGCTGAATTTTCGCAGAGAAACCGATTCCAAAATTGTAGAACAGAGCTGCTGTTGGAGAGGGATAGATTTTTTGTTAAACCCACTTGCCGGCTTTATCTTCATAGCATCCTGATAGATAGCAAGAGAAGTCGCAAGGACTTCACGCGAGTATTTCCCAGGAAAGAAAAGATACTCCAGCCACTTCTCTGTGGGATCAGCAATGTCAGACGATAGGAAACTTGGTGGAAGTTCTTCGCCCGTGGTCTCCAATGCCATTCCTGTCCAATTGTGGCGCCATGCAGATTCCAGATTATCCAGATCAAAATGGAGACTGTAAATCTGATAGAGGCTGTTATTCCTCCAAAGCACCCACAGGACCATACGTCTTCCTTCTTCCATAGACTTTATTTGAAAATCTGCAATGTTCCAAAACACGCTGCCAGAAGGGTCTGGATCTGCAGGTTTCAATCTACAATCGGGGAAAAGGTCCTCCACCTCCAGGTCCGATGTCAACGCACCTTTCACAGCCCAGAACTTGAACTGCCCATCATCCAGAGGCGAGTATGTGACAGCGTAATATGTTTCACCGTCCATAGCCCTCTCAGCATTAAACACACGAAGAAAGGCAGACTCGGTGGGATTTAGTGTCGTCGGAGCGGCGTCTTGTTGCTCAGCTGTCCGATTTAGCAGATCCCTCGATGCAACCAGTTTATGACTTGCTAAATTCCAAATCTTCAGTGTATGGTTGAGACCCACAACAAATACAAAAGTCTGGTCAGAGGTTGTAGCAATAGCATTCGAAGTATTCGGATCCAATGCTCGCCCATCGTAACGTATCTGCTGGTGACCATTCCATTTAACAAGGCCGCGAAATGAGGAACCCCAAGGTTTTTCATCAAAAGTGATCGCAGACCAGTGAGATCCTATAACATGAGTAAGAAGAATGAAATCAGCCAAAGGATCCCTAACCAAGCTCTGACAACACATGTAACTAGCTATCCCAAAGAAGAACAAAAACAATACATACCGTCATCTCCCGCCTTCCTCGTCAACCTTAACAACGCCCCGCTATCCAGCGAAATGAACAACTCCTGAGGGTTACTCGCATGCAAGCGATGGGGATGCGCAAAAGACAACGGCGCCGGACAGCTCATTTTACACCAATCGGCCACATTCTCATCAATCGCCGCAACCCGTCGAAAGAACTCCGGCCGCAAACTAATCGTATACAACTGCCTATCCCTCGTAACCACAAACAAACTCAGCGCCTCATGCCCCTCCGAATCAGCCATTGCAACGCCATGAGGTGTTATCCGTTCCTGAAACTCGAGCCGGAGTAACAGATTCGCCTCCTGTAGATGGTTGTTCGCCGTCGTTGACGTTGTCACTTCATTCCCGCCCTTGGTCAAGTCCACAGGCCGTATCTCGAGAAATCGATCATCATCACCATCCTCGTCACCCCCCACAACTCGCCAGAGGAAGTTGCGTGGGTATGTTTTTCGCTGGCGAAAATAGACTGAGCCCTGGGTGGCTAGGTAGCGCTTTGCGAAAGCGTTTTCATCCTTTGCCACGTAGTCAAGGTGCGAAGAAGGAGTAATAGAAGGTAAGAGGGAAAATTTCGTACGTCGATGTGGCGGGTTGCCGAGGCCCTGCGAGGAGGATGGGATGGGGATGTTGATGATCGAGGATGGTGCCGTTGATCGGAAGTCGACCTTGGTCTCCTTGTATATTTTGAGCATGCTGGATATAAACAAAGAGACATGGATATTCCAATTGTAGGCGATAAGTTCTAGCTGCCTATTGCCGTTTCTTGTTCTTATAGGAGCAAAGAAGGTGGATGTCCAGTCCAGTGTTCAGTGTCGCGATGTATTGATGTTGCTGAATAAATAAATATGCAGTGAGGGAAACTGTCGCAATAAAAATTAAGTTTGGTGGATCAAAACCCCAAGTAAATAATCAACGACGGGAGACAGCAGTATACGAAGCACACTTATATGAAAAAATCCGTACACTAATTGTAAATAAAGATGAGGATGAACGCTAAAAGTCCTCTATGGAGCTTAAACAGGTGATATATATGATCTCAGTTTTTTCTCACGAGGGCAAAAATCGCCTGGAAACGGCCCGCCTTAAGGGTAAGTTACCTAGAAACCGACACTATATGTTGACGAAGCTGCTACATTAACACCATTTGGATGAGTTATTTTTCTTGCTATAAAAATACTTATACTAAATAAAATAATGTTCGCGATATGGTTAAAAATGCTCTCTTGATGATATTTATCCGGCACCAATAGCCCGGTTTTGGAGTTAACAACAAACACCCATAATGAAATGAATATCAAAACCATCTGACATAAGAATAACATCACCCCCTTCGCTACAACGCCGGGCCCTCGTAAACAATGCAATGAACAGATAAAAAATGCGAAAGCAAAAAGATCAAAAGAAAACATGCTATAATCCTTCAAATGTAAAAAAAAAAAAAAAAAAAAAAAAAAAAGGGAGAGAGAGGCAATTAATGTTACCTTGATCAATCCTTCTCCAAATCCTTCGGACTCGGATCTCCGATCCCATCCTCACCAATCGCAAACAGACAGTCACTCTCAGGAAGACAGGGACTGTCATAAATCTTGCAGATCCTGGTCTCACCTCTACCCTTTTTCAAACTCAACCTCGTTGTGCTAGCGTGGGCAATGATATTGCCTCCAATCGGCTTCTTCGGGTCCGGGTTGAACATAGCACTTGGCCCACCATCCACCTGCGCAACGACTTGGTTGGTGATAACAACCGCAATGCCAAACTCATCAGCCAGACGTCGCAGTGCCCGCATGAACTTCGCAAGATGGATCTGTCGATTTGACAGCTCGCCCCGCCCACTGAAGTCAGTCCGGTACAGTGCGGTAGCGGAGTCGACAATGAGCAGAGAAAATCGAGTTTCACACATCATCTGCGACGCTTGGTTAAGCAGCTGCAGTTGGTGGTCGGAGTTGTAGGCCCTGGCATAGGCGATGTTGTCGAGCACCTCTTCACCGGCAAGTCCATAGCGCTGAGCGACGGATAGTAATCGGGTTGGGCGGAATGTACCCTCAGTATCAATGAATAGACATTTCCCTTCCCCGCCACCCATGTCAAAGGGTAGTTGACAAGTTACAGCTAAAGTATGACAAATTTGACTTTTTCCCGTTCTGAACTCTCCGAAAATCTCAGTTATGGAGCCGGTTTCAATGCCTCCAGCAAGGAGAGTATCCAACTGCTTAGATCCTGTCGTTATACATATCAAGTCTGTTCGTCGAGCATGCATCTCTGTCGCAGTTGTGAAACCCATAGGCACGATTTTTGATGCTAATTACAATCAGTCAACGATGAAGAAATGAAACAGACCATCGAAGATATACAGAATCACATACCCTCCGCAAGGATCTTTGTTGCCTTCTGTTCAGATATGCCCTTGATCTGTTCTAGCAACCGTTTAGGTCTGTTCAAAACATATCACACATGACTATGAGTAAACGGAAAACCAATATATAACACATATGCCAAGCAGACCAGGGATATTCTTACGTGTATGCAACCGACTCAATAGTGTGATACCCGCCCTCAATCACCAGCTTGATGTCCCGCGCAGTCAGGCCATTGACTCCCTATAGAACAAGCCCAAAGTCAGTATAGGCCATTGAAGAGCAGCAAAGGACAAGGGCATCATGGAATCGGAGTCAGGAAACCCACTTCCAACGCAGACAGCGGTGTTGGTGCGCCCGGCCCCGTCAGCCCATTTTCCTCGTACTCGTTTTGGGTTTCGTCATCAACAGCCATAGTTGCGAGTTGAGAGGTTATGACGGGAAGAGTCAAGAGAACTCAAGACGCGTCTCGTTAGCTTCAATCAAACCAGGACTTCAACTTCAAGGAAAACCAAAAATAACAGAGGAATCGTGTAAATATGCACAGCGAGGTTCTTGGTAGCAAGGATTCAGGTCGGAGATTAGATTTGGTGGGTGTAGAGGGCGGGGAATTTGGTATCAATTGATGAGACGTCGTTTGACGTAGGGTTTGACGCGACAGGTCGCGACTTCATGTGACTTTAATTTGTCATCAAAACTCAGCTTTTTTTTTTCCTATTTAGTTAACTAATTAATAGTTAAGTTACTGGAAGGACCAAACCCGTCGCCTCCAAGTAAACAATGCATTCACCGATACTAATATGAATCCGCCTTCGTGACTCGTGAACGCAATGATTTTTATTTCTAATAAACAAGGAAGAAAAGAAATGTGGAAGAAAAAACAGAATAAAAAAAAAGATAATAACTAACGACCCTTTTTCCTGATATACAACGCTGCGCAAAGGAACACTTAGAACATACACTTTTAGACAAAGACTCTATGGAATTGCCAAAGAAAAAAAAAATAAAGAAAAAAAAAATAGATCTTTTCTCCTCTAGTTATGCTCCATCCCAGACTACGTCCAGATTGGGAAAAGAGTAAAGGGGAACAAAAACAAGGTCAATCGAATATGTCGCATCAAACAGCTTGGGCGAGAGGAACCTGACTTATCTGCGTGACTATAGCTTGCGTACGGTCCTTTCCGTCGTCCCTTTGCACCTCGACAAACCCACTGCGCGTAGCATTACCTAACTGCCCTGTCTCTGCAATACTAAACTGTCTACGACTGTGAAGAGGCAGCAAATCGCGATGTTGTTTGTCATCGACGATGCGGCAGTTCTCCATCGGGTTCAAATAAGTTTGTTCGTAAGGTGGGCCGCTTGCTGATCGAAGTCGCTCGTTTCCTGATATGTTTTCGAAAATTCCCTCGGAATCGATGGACCGGGTGTGCAAATAGAGGTTATTTTCCGATGCTGTGATCAATCGTCAGCGTTTTTATTTCTTCCTCTTCCTTTTCAACTTTGAAATTACTTGGTTCAACAACTGGACGCCCACAACATACCTGTAGCAATAGGTGTAAAGTCCGACTCAGTTCCAAACACACTGCCGTCTTCAGCGTGGCGGGAATTCATACTACTGTATCCGCTCTCGTGCTGACCAGCAGACTCCGTCCCCACTTCATCATATTCAGAGCATCCATTGTCACAATTCTGTGGGCCCTCCAGCTGCTGGTCATGTTTAGGATCTATTTCACTCTGCGCACGTCTCCCCTTCGTCCCTGAACTCGAAGCATTCGAATTATGTCCACCAAAATGCGGAAAAGGAGAGCTGACAGAAACGGGCTTAGCACGAGCAAGTGTAGCGGCTTTTGGCGATAGGAGATTGGGCCCGTTTGAAAGGGGAGGGGGAGGAGGAAGGATGATGATCGATTTAGACTCTGCACTTGCAGTTCTGCCGGCATCAGAATATGATACCCGTCTAGGTGTGCCAACAGGGGTATTATGGCTTGATATCCAAATTCCTTCTATCTCGATCCCGCTTTCTATCGCCCTGGACCCGAAGGGTATTTCTTCGCTACCCGCCTCGACCATTTCCGGTTTAGGTCTAGTTATGGCTGCGGCAGCAGTGAACTTTTTGAGCATTAGGGAGTTGTAGATGTGCACGCCGCTACCATATATAAGCACAAGAACCTGTTATCCGGAAGAATATGTCAGAAATGGTGTGTGTGCAGAAATGACATTTCAGTTGCAGGAGGTGGGAGCAGTACTATAAGACATCCAAGGACCTGGATGAATTTTTGTGGTTAGGACGGTTAGTGAAATGATACTTCACATGCGGGATGGTTGCGCAATACACCCGCTGCGCTGTACGCGCGAATGAAACCATCGGGTTAGGGGCAACTCACAAAACACATTTTCGCCCACAGCGCCCATTCCACAAAAAACACCATGTTAAGACGCGTCTTCAGATGTAGTTGCGATACGCAAGGCCGTTGGTATTGATAAAAAATGTTTTAGTTTGAGGTAAGTCTAGTCAGGGCGGAATGTAATTGATCGGAGGATCTTAGGTAAGAGAGGGGTTGCTCTGGGAAAGACTTGATGAAGACGATAAATAAAACCACAGAGGGAATTAACGTGATACTGCGGAGGCCCATGGATATTGGCAGTCATAGGGAATCCTTCTTATATGGACAAAAAGAGAAGAATTTATATGTATAGAAAGAGACAAAAAAAGTCGACAGAGATTTTTGAGACTGTCGATGTTTTCTATCCAAGACGAAGGGCAACTACTCTTTTCCTCGTAGTCGTTACTTCCCCGGATCTATATCGAGGGCGACGAAGATGAACATCCAACATTGAAATGTGGATGGGTATGGGGATCAGGATGAGGATGAGGATGTTGAGGAAGAATGTATAGTGCATTCATGCACATCCAGACATGCACAAAGAGAATGCAGTATAGAGGTCTTCTTTTGATATTCATGGTTTCGCGATGAGGTCTGCCATTTTTGGTATTCACTGAAACACAACTTTGCAGCCAAATAATGAGTATTATATTAGTTCAGTTCAGGGGTATATATGGAAATTCAAAAAAAAAAAAATTGCATAGATGGAAAGAAATCACCAAATTTCAATTAAGAACATTTATCACTCAAAAACAACACAAAAAAATCTTTCCTCCTCAGAAGGGGGGAAACACACAACATATACAATATTTAGAACATATCAAATCTCACAACTGCAACACATCTTGCAGGTTGCATTGCCAGGTATGTTGCAGCAATCAAATCAAAAGAACGGAAATAGATCTTAAGCTAGTTTGTCGGAGGAGAACTATGCAGGTTAAACTGGCCATCATGGCCAGGGACAAAGGGTCTTCCAAGAAACATTGCCAACCACATCGTGCAGGACGTGGCAAAGAAACAACCATCAATCACCCTTGGCCATCGCGCATCCAATGGGGTAAACAATGGAATCTAGCATGTCTGGATAAGACGGGTATACCTAGGTCGCAACGCTTGCTCTCTGTCCCAAATAAATATAATGGACGGCTGCTTGAAGCGGGTCAAAACGGGTTGCGGCATATATGAGATTGACTCTGCGCTTCCACAATCAATGAACGCTATTTTGCTCGCAGATGGAAGTCAAATTGGGTCGAAGCTATTATCGAAAATATCAAATAAAACTGTTGTCCTCTCCAGTCGCTGCACAGTGTTCGTTATGAAAACCCAGAGAGCGACGATGAGTCGATGGCTGACATTCGCGATCAAGGAATAATGAACTCCCACAATGCAGTTTATTCTCAGGAGAAACCCGAGGCCAGGAATCAGATCTTCAGGGAGCTTCCTTAACCCCCCTCGACATACCCATAGGAAGTCCACTGCATATATTACTCATGAGTCACGAACTTACGCCGGCTGACGACGGTTGCGGTCGAATTTTTAGAACTGCATCTAACTATGTATATTCCGCAATAAGGCCCATCCTTCCATCAGTGATGGTGTTGACAGAACAAGTTCTGAACAACGGTGATCCTGTCAATCATGCGCGTGTCCCCCGGGTTAAACCCTGCCTCTGCAGGCCGTTGATAGGCAGAGCTTGGGCCCATTGCAATTGGCCAAGAGGAAATATCCTTAAGATAACAACAGCATTTTTCACGGATTGAGAGCCAAGGCTGGTTGTGAAGGTGCAGATTTTATCTCCAGAGAATCGCAGGATTAAATAGGAGAGATAAAAATCTTGGACATATATCATGTATATTTTGTTTTATCTTCTCTACATTGCAGAACGGCTGGGTCGAACGTTAAATTTGAGGAAGGCTGATAACCGCTGCTCCAACCTAGGCTTCGAAGGGTTCGTTCCAAGGCTTCCACGACAACATCCACGGGGCACCGCTAACTAAAATTAACTAACGTGTCCAGCCAACTTGAGCCAGGAGTTAATAACAAAAATGATATCGGATTGGAACGAATGCGAAATGCGAAATGCGAAATGCGTAGACGAAAATGAGAGATAAACGAGGTGGTTTAAATTTTATACGGTTTGCCCCTGGTTCTATGCTCCATTGGTGGATTCAACCAGAGTTGAAAATCCGGTTTGCGAAATTGTATCTTAACCAGGAACCCCCCCCAAAATGCCACGGATACAGAGATACCATATCGGAGTAGCTATTCCTCCAAACCATTTGAGTTAAACTCTGCTAATATTTAATCGTCCGTCAGCCCCCGGAGACCCTTTAATTCGATCATGTGAGCCCTATATCGATTTAATAGTTAATTAATTCAATCCAAGGCCAACTCTCTTTGGTATATTTACCATCAGTAACTGTTATATCGGGTTGTTACATTCCGAATACATGTTCTCAGCCTCTCCTTTTTGATAATTTACTCTGCCATTATAGCTTTACACACCCGGCCCACTCGCTCTAATCATCATGTCCCCGTTCCGCAACCTCTTTCCCAAGCGCCCCGCGGTGACCATTGAGCCAACCAGCGATGAAAACCCCTCGTTGCAGACCGCAGCGGGCAATTCCCAAGCCACACCGCAACAATCCTCATTGAGTCTAAGTCGCGGCAGAGAGGAACCCAATGAATACAAAATGAGCGGTAAGATATTGAAGATATGCTATGTTGCATTCAGTATGTCATTCCAGCCGTTCGTCAACTGATGCTTATATAACTATCGCCTTTTCCGCAGTTGTCAATGATAGCGGGGTCTATCTTCCGGTACGTACCGAAATATTCACTCCCTCCCAGTTAGTGATATGTTCATACCATTACAATAAGAATCATTCCAGTTGACGGCATATTTTTTACATAAAAAATAGCCTTCTCCAACAGAGAAAAAGAGCTTCTGGCAAAGGTCTCCTTCCCAAAACAATATGAGAAACCTCGTGAATGAAAATGAACCCTTCTCAATATCTAGAGAGTCCTTCGACTCTTATCGCCGCTCATTTGTATGCTACCCCCCTTCGCACAAATAAACAAGGGCCTTCTCTCCGGAACTCACTCACATCTAATTCCGTCATTATCACCCCAGGACATCTCCGCCCACTCCACCATCAGTCCACCCAACACGAGCACCTCCCGCACCTCTCTCGACTCCCGCTTCTCCCGCCTAAACACGCCCCGCTCAACAATCAACGGAAATACTTTTGACCCGCCCCCAAGGGCGGCAGACGAAGAACCAGAGCAATTTGTCGATGTCGGTCTAAATGAAGAGAACAAACCTAAAAAGAAGGGCTTTTTTGCTCGGTTGACGGACACAACCACTGCTAATCATACCAATACGGCGGGAGAAGACGCTTCATCGTCGCCTGCGCATAATAGCCGGCCAACTTCGTCAAATCTGGGACTAGGCTTCCATTTTCCAGGTAGGAAGTGGGAGCAGAATGCTGGTGCTGCCGCTAATGCTGGTGAAATTCAGGCGGCGGAACTGGGGAATATAAATATTCCTATTTCCGCTGATGTGAAATGAATGAAAATGAAACGTTTTTGGTCATGGTGAGGATCGGCATTAAGGTTTCATTTGCGTTCTGACCAATCACCCTTTGATAATGGCTTCCTCTGTTCTTTATTTAAGGGATTGATGGTTTGTTCTTTGGACATATTCGGAGATTTATCAATGCCCCACTGTGAATGGGTTGGGATTTTTGAATGGGCTCATGAGGAATAATTTTAATTCTTCTTGAGATATATATTTTGTTCATCTTATGTTGCACCTGGATGAACGACAGAATTTTTTTTTTTTTTTTTTTTTTTGTTTTGTTTTTGGAATATTTCTTTTGATAGCGGTGTTATACCCAAACCTGTTGGCAACATGATATATGAATCTACTAATGTTAATAAATTATTTCAGCGCCGAATCCCCAGTTAGTTATCCCCTCCATCCTTGGATGTAAATGCGCCTTTCCAATTTTGTTCAGGTTGCATTGGTTGGGGGTTGCCAGATGCTGATGATGAAACTCCTGTTTCCATACTCCACCATAAATAACTGATGTTCGGCACAATATCACTGGCAACCCAATGAAGGTGGCGGCAATGAAAATAACAAATTCCAATACACCTTCACCTATCATAGATCTTTATGAGAGTGAAATTTTGCAGCTCATTGCGGAGACGGACCCGTCCCACTTCGGCAATTCACTTCTGACATTCGCATAATAATTTGAAATCACCGGCCCCGAAGGGGGGAGCATCTATACCTAGCATATGAACTTATGAGGAGACAATTGTAAGCTTTTTCAGAGCCTGTTTAAAGAAAGGAACTGTTTCGCCAAGTACAAGATGCACAACGTCGCTATGATGCAAAAGCACATCTAGCAGAAATGATAGCATTGCTAGGTCCCACCCCCACCACCAAAAGCTCATCGCGGGATAGCATTCAGTTCTGGGTTTCAAATGCCCCAAGCCTTTAAAGGTCGAGGATGGCAAAACCTATGAGAGTGTGAACCCATTATTCGGCCGGCCGTGTTTTTGACGAAGATAGCATGGCTATCGAAAATCTCGCTGCAAACAACATACGGCACCGAGAGCCAGGCCAATACTGATAGATATGTCAACAAATTAACAGGGAAATTTTTGCATGAAC